AAGATTATTTTATATGAATTTCCTTCACATTCAACTCATATATTGTAATCTCTAGATAGTGTATCTTTTCAGCAGTATAAGCACTATCATTCAAAGACAGTTAATCAAGCTGTACAATATGAATATGAGCAGTATGAAAAACACCAATTTCTATAGAATCTAGTTAATGTCTGCAAAAAAACTTTTCAACCTTCTACTATTCAGACTAGCTTTGCAGATTGTGGTATTGTTTCATTCAACCTGCAATCTATACTGTTTAAGCTAGATTTAAAGGTCTCTGACTACTCTGAGTTGCAAATATATGGAAAAGACTTCTTTTTGCTGCAATCAAGCTGTTCAGATACTGCTTCATCACAGCTATTCTCACTCAAGACAATCAAGAAGCTACAACATCATATTCAAGTGACAAAGAAGGCAATGCAAGATATGAAAGGATATACTTGATTTTAAATCATCTCATCTGAGCAATTGATTGAACAAGATTTTCCAAGGCAGTCTTGTTCAGATAGAACTCAATACTATAAGAGAGAGTGAGATTGAGAGTTACTACCTTGCAATCAAACACCACAGCACTAAAAATATATATTAGCAGGTTCAAGTAGGAGGTATACTTACTGTCAGAGATGTGAATAGAAAGATTGTACAATATAAAGAGGACAAAGCAGAAAAAGAACATTATAAGAGAGTCAAATATGTTGAGAGAGCTTTGAAGAAAAATGCTACAGATTCAACTCAATAAGAGGTTAATGATATATATAAACATCTCGCGAATAATACAGCTACTACAGATGATATAGATAAATTAATTATTATAGATTAGCAGCATAATGATGAGATATTAATTTTTGAAGTTCTAATTATCTATATTTTTATCATTATGCTATTTTTATCATTACGCTGTGGCGCACCACATCAGATGTGGATGCGCGGGGCACGATTAGTCTACAGAGTAATATTAAATATGGGGGCCTTAGACTATATGCTCTTTACTTTCTACAGATATCTTTTCTTCTGTGTCTAGATAAACTTTGATAAAAACGATATGAGGAGGTACTTGATATAATGAAAAGAAAATCAAAATTGACAGAGTTTTCAAAGAGCTCAGATATGTTTTTTCTCAACAATGAGTTGATAAATACTTTTGAAAACTATTTAAATTATTTTGACCTAATCAATCTCTTAGTTATTCAATTTTCACACTCTTTAGATCAAGTGTTATAGGTTGATAATGAATATTATTGTTGAATATTTACTTTTCAAAAAAAAGTATGTTTTCAACAATTAATTCTTTAAATCTTATCTGAATAGTATAAAAATTGAGAGACTGATCAATTTCAGTAAAAGCTTTCAAATAAAAGTATTTTTAAATTAAAATTCTAAAAATTAGCTGAGTTTTAAAAAAATATTGTTATTTATTCAGTTGATTAATATATAATAGATAATTGAGAATTGAAGCTGATTAATATAAGTAACTAAATATAATTATGAATTAAAATGATTTAATTTTCACAATAAATTATTTTTAATTTATATTATTAATAACTATATTGTAATAATTATCAGAGATATTATCTAAAAAAAAACTTAAATAAGAAGATATCTGATAACATATTATTCAAATAAAGAAAATCAAAAAGCTAACAACAGATAATATGAAAAAAGTATAATATATCATAAAATCATAAATCAACAAATACTGTTATAAGTCAAACTTTGAAGTAGAAAATATAATCTTTTCATTACTTATAAACTATAGAATATAACAACTTAGCAAAAACCTTATAGAGTAAAAATAAAGACTTTTTAAGATTATTAAGAAGATTTAATAATAGTTATAGACTAAGATTATCTAACAGTATAATAATTCACGTAAATATTCTCTTCTAAAAAGTTTAAAAAAATTGTAAAAGATTATTATCAAAGCAACAACAGAATGAGATATTGAAATCATATGAGATATAAGTGAAAATGAGTAAAAATTGAAAACATTCTAGCAAGCTGCATCTCTCATGAAAAGCTTCGATACTGAGTAAAGTGACTAGAATTTGATAATCAAACCTGAAAGAGTTACCACATTAAATCTCCATGTAGTGGATTTGACAACATCAGAACCATCAAAACATCTAAGTGAGTGGCTGAAGGCTTGAGAGAAGAAGGACAATTATCTCTCTGATGAGGCAGACGATGATCTACCAGCATGAGGGCATGCCTGAGCGTCAGAAGGGGGTAATGTGATGATGGTGCTGGCGACGGTGCCGGCTACTGTGCTATGACAACGTATGGCTACGAATACTGGCACTGACTGAAAAGGGTAATAATAGCATAGGCCTAGCTAGCAACTGCCCTAAGGATGCTGCCTGGCAACCACACCGCAAACAATTTACCCCGTAAACAAATACCCCACAGAAACTGCTGAGCAACGACATAGCAACCGCTAGTGGAAACGGGGTATACGAACAGAGGCTTCCCCGGGCCCCCCGTTCCGTAGAGCATTAAGAACTTAGTATTTCGTTGAAGTAGCTTACCTAGCTGGCAATCATACACCTGTTTACCTGCGCCTAGATTGAAGCCGTGACACATTTCATAAAAAGTGAAAGTTTGATAGAAGCTCTATATAGATGTCTAGCTAACTCACTGTTCAGAAAGTCAGTGATTTCTCAATATATGAGTTACCGAGGTATGCATACAATTCTCTATACAAAATACTTGTACCTCTTGTTTTTAGATACCTCTTCTATCTGTAGGGCTTACACGCATCTATTTTCTTAACTAGTTAAGCCTACCCCATAACCAACCCAACGTGACGTCACCGTTGAACACGTCGCCTCGTTACATCCTCTCTAACGTCTAACTAACGTAATCAATAAGCGAGCGAACCATATAAGCGAGCGAACACTCTCTGTACAATGAGAATGTCTTCAAAGCCTCAACTATAAAGAAAAACTAGCAAATTACATTATAAATTATTTTCTATACACTTAGAGCATGTACGGGCAGTATGCCCAATAATCCCATAGACACTACACTGTGGTGCTGCATGTTTTTGTGGTTGCAACTCAGCAGCCTCAACCACCCCCTGCTCCCATCCATTAACCCTTCATATGTGATCCAAGCCTTCTTCAACCCTCAAAGCACCCTCTTGAGCTACATATGTACGGCCTCTTTCTCACTTTCTCTTTTGTTTGGCATTTTGAGCCCTTAACTCCCTGTTTTCAGCTGCTAGAATAGCAGCACTGTGCATTGCCTTTTGACATCCCTTGACCAGCTGACTTAGGGCATGATTGGTTGGACTGGGTGGGCTCTGTGTACGGTGCTTGATATATCCTTTAACTTTCTCAGCCTGCTGCTCCAATTGGCGTACATTATGTGGTGTGGCTGTCACCCAGGAGGCCTGGGAGCTGTGGGAGGTCCCTGGGAGGGTGGGGGTATGCATCATGGTATTAAGCCGCGAGAGAACCTGCTCAGGATCATACAGAACCAGCCCAGCAGCTCTAAAGCTGCTCTTGATGTTGCTCTCAGTCAGGGCCTGCATCTGAGCTGCAGGATAGAGACTCAGAAACTCCTCCTCTTCAATATGATTGATCCCAAGCCGCATCTGGTTTTCCACCTGCCGTCTGTACACAGTTTTCAGGGGCGAGAAGCAGCCAACATCCAATGGCTGAAGAAGATGGGAGGAATGTGGCAGCATGTAGAGGGCAATGATCTGATTCTCAGTGCAAAATTGATCAAATCCAGCTGAGGCATGGCTTCAGTGCCAGTCTAGAATCAACAGTCAATATCTGCTCTTTGTACAGGGTAGAGTCTCCTTGTTGAACACCTCTTTCAGCCAGTACAAGCCCAGCTGGTTGATGGTCCAGCCCATTCTCACTGACTCCAATCACCCAGTCACGTGGTAGCCCTTCTGTCTCATACCAGCAGGATTGATGCATCTTTTCTTTGAGGATAATCATCATATGCAAGGCCCAGCCAGTTGCATTGACTCCAGCAATAACAGTCACTCATTCCCAATCTCCAGGCTGTACAAGCTTGGGATTCCCAGCTCTTTCAGATCCAGTCACCACCCTGGCAGTCCCAATTACACCCATCTGAAACCCTGTCTCATCAAAGTTGTAGATATCATCTTCCAGGATCCCATACTTCACAATAGTGTTTTGTATGAGCCTAAACCACCCACAGATAACCTCAGAATCCTCACATAGAGCCTGCTGATGATTGTACTTGCATGAGAACTTGGATTTCAGCTCATCATGGTGCTTGACAAAGTTTCATACCCAGCATTCACCCACTGTGGGTGGGAGGTTGGATCCTCAATTGGCAAGAAGGAGATTGGCCATTTCTCATACAGCTGCAACTCAGGGAGGCTGACCTCACTCACCCATGGCCAGAATCCATTGAACAAGAGATTCTTCCTCTGTAAGACTAAGTTTCCAGTTCTTTGGGGGTGTGTCAACATGTGCTGTATGACCATGTATGCGATGAGTTAAAGTTGCATAAGGGACTTCATATAGCTTTGCTGCAGCTCATACACTTGAAATTTGATCATTTTTGAGTGCTTGAATGGCTAAAGGAAGCCTTCCTTCCTGAGTAGAGGCTTTATTTCTTTGTGTGGTTGACATTTTTGATGCAGAGCATTTCTCATTGTATGGAGGGTGGGAAGTGGTTCGCTCACTTATATGGTTCGCTCGCTTATTGATTACGTTAATTCTTAGGAATGTCATAATAACTACTAGTTTCGTTCTGGGCTAACCCATCAGGATATCCAGCCAATCAAGGCCCGCATCCTGTCCTAGACGTGAAACTAGTGGAGGTTCGCTCTTCCATCTAGATATGTATCTCCATATGCTCTGCTCTTTATAGTAATATAGGAATGATATAGGAAGTATGCTGCAATAAAAACATAAATTCTGTACAGTCAATCATACGTGCAATCAATCCCTTCTTTACGCTGCTAGCGAAATAAAATCTTCAAACTATTCGCTTCATCCACTTCATTTCTCTCCTCAGCATATCCCCTCCGCATTTCTGATCCGATTCACAATGCCTTGCAGTCTCGACGTGAACCCAGACACTGACGACTCCTCTTCCCCTTGGCTCCCATCTTTCCCATCGTGAAGCTCCTCAACCTTCCGATGGTAGTGTAGAAACTCATCGACCGTAGCCAGTACTCGATCAATGGTCCTCCCGTGGAGGGAACTCCGAAGGTGCAATCGTGCCCCGTCGTTGAGGGAGACTGTGCTCAAAAGCACTGATATATAACCAAATACAACATTAGAGTGTGTCTGGATGACAGATTCAGCCTAAACAGATGAGATGGGATGTCGATATTAGTTACTTTTACACTTTGTTGTTTCTTGTAATACCGACTGCAGATAAATCTTACCTCTGACGTTTTCTCCCACCCATCTTTAAATAGCTGTAGCAAACGATCGAGGAATGTGGTCGAATTGTTGCTTCGCGTTTTAAAAATTAGTTGTCTTGCGGCTTCGCTCCATTCCGTTAGATTTATTAACGCCCCAAGCGCCAAAATGACCGCATCTAAGAAGGAATCCCGTTTATCGTTACCAAAGTCCTCAGAAACCAATCCAAAATTGGACAACACAATTTGCATCAATCCTCGTATGAACTCGGCCGTCGAAAAGTCTTCGCATAGCGAAGGGTTGTTATTCGTGAGATTCAAAATTAACCGAATTTCTAGCAGCTGAATCTGCTTGCAACACGGCTCCGAATAATGAGATAGTTGGGATAGTAAACATCCAAGGGGCGTAAGTGTCTTTAGTATCTTCTCCTGACTCGGACTAAGAGAACTCAGAACAACCGTATAAGACTCCAAAATGGAGAATGCCAACTCGATGATCAAGAAATCGTCTGACTTGGCGCTTTTGTTTTCGAGAAGCATGGAGTGCCGTAGAAGCACCTCAACCAGCTTGGACAAAAGAGCATCCGATATATGGTCTATAGCATCTCCACTTTCACGAGCGCGACGCACGGCCATCTCAATACACCGCAAGGCCAGGGCCAGAGGAGTGGGTTTCTCGGGTTTAATATCAGGCCAAATTTTGCTCTGGCTCATTTGTTCACAGAAGTCCCGGAGCGACCCTTGAATTGTTTTGGATGTCTTCATCGCCTTCAGTTTTGACATATCAAGGATATCGGAATCGTCTGATATCATGTCGGGAACAACTTTGAACACCTGAGAAGAGCAGGTATGCAGAACCACAGATGATACGGGACCAGTTGCCAAAATTAACCCATATGCACAAGTAAGAAGGTACATGTAAATGGTGTCACCCAAGTCTCCAGCTCTTTTTGCAAGTCTTTTCTCCAAGGCATAAGCCAGGAAGCGGCGCGCAAATTGGTGATCCATTAACTTTGTACAAAGCTGTATTAGGCCACTATACCTTCTTGAAGCAGAGGAAGTAGGATCTTCGATGTCCTCAAAAATCGCGTCTACGATTCCTTCAAATCTAGCATTTTCACCGGCGCGGCGGAGTTCATAGATATTTCGCACCACCCCGTTGGTGTTGTCACCGCCACCATCGTCTTTTGGATGGGATGAGAGCGAACGAGGCCTTTTGGAAACCATAACATTCGGCACGCAATGGCCACCCTGGTACTGTGGAGCAAATTGGGGTTTGGGTAGGGCTTCCAGAAGAGGATCTTCAGCTACATTTCCAACAGTAAGGAACGACCTTTGTCGAGCATATGTATTTTTCGGACCACTAGTCTGGGAATGCTGTGACCGGATGGGAGAATTGGATCGGGAGTCGTTCTTCATCTCATGTAATGAAGCCGGGAGCTGAGAGGAAGAAATAAGTGAATCCTCCGATGTCCCAGTAGATATCTCGGAGGACGCCCGAGAACTGGCAAAACGGGAACATCTGTCAGCACCACCAAGATTAATTGGTGACCCAGGCATAGTACCGGGGGTGAAGCTCAATGCATCTACAATCCTTCTCCGTGATGGGGTGGTATTTGTAAATCCGTTTTGCTCTAGAGTATCATCCTCAGGTCCAGTGTGAACTCGAGCGGAGGTTGCCAGTCTTTGTCTGGGGTTCAAGGAAGGCATTTTTGGTGGCGGATCCTTTACCGACTTTGCTGGGCGGACGAGCGTATTTGCGGGAGGCTTCAGAGCCTGTTGACCTGCTGTCTGCGACAACGACGGATTAGGAGCCACGTGGGAACTCTGATCTGTGTGCAAATTGGCCATTGATTGCTTGGAGCGGCGAGGCAGACCAAAACCAGGCTCATCTCCTTCCTCCAGCGCTACCTCTTCCTTGGTTGTGGTTTTGTAGTATTTCTTCAAATGTTTCGGTGTCCGAATAACAACTTCGACTTCAGTTTTTCCAGCGGGGCCAGTGGGCGCTGCAGTTGTAGCTACATCTCTAGCAGGGGAATCGTGATGGGTGTGATCAGGTCTCGTACGTTTAGGGCTTGGGTTTACAATATCAGCAAACCCTCTTGAAATCCATTCAATCTTCGGAGACTCTATCTTTCTGCGTTTTCTCCATGGTTCTATCTTTTCATGCTGTTGCTCATCTCCAGACAAAGTGATGTCATAAACACTGCTCTCTTCGTAGCTTGCTGTCTGATGCCGCAGTGACGTTGACTTAGCTGGTTTCGCCACCTGAGGTGTTTGGAGTGCGCCCGGGTGTTGGCGAAGGTTGTTATTCCCACTTGCTTGCCTGATACGTGCTGCCGTATGTCCGGAAGATGGAATCAGGTCCTTAGAAGGTTCCTGGGGCAAGGGACCTGGAGTCTGCGCAGGCGGCGAACTTGTCAACAATCGGTGTCCTTTTCCGTCCTTGTGCCCACGCGACGACTTCCCGTAAGTGATCAGCTGGCGATGAGGTGTTGGATTACCCCTGGCTGGCGCCATTGCTCATTGGTTCGTAGGAGATCACCTAGTATGTAGGCTGGGGAGAGCTGGATATGAAGTCGGAAGAAAGGGGAAGGGCCGTTTTCGGTCCATCTATTGGATGTGCCGTGGGGATGAAAGGAATGGACTCGTTCAAGCGCTCCACCTTCAGTAGTTATCAGTTATCCGCTAACTCCCATGCGCATAGGAGAGCAGGGAAATGATAGGGCCTTTTTGGTTTGGGGGAAGAAAGTTAAGCAGCTTGCAGGGTGGGATGGAGTGGAAGTCGTTTTTTTAACCCCGTACCTAGTTGATTAAAACAGTTAAATTAAACTCCCGATTAGCGTGTGGAATGTGTAGTTATGTATTCTTTGGCGCTCAACGGAGGCCCAATAACTACATGAGTAGACGACACATCGACGAGAGTAATTTCCTGCGTGATTATGGTGCTAGTATTTAGGGGAATAAATATGTAGACATCACCATGAGCGATCGAAATTGTCGCGATAACAGAATCCACGACCCAGTCATGATAATTGAGTTATATAAGTTAGTCCAACACTGCTCCGAGTTTATAACGAACGTTAAAAAGTTATTAGTTAGCTACCGTTACAAAGTGAGCTGTGGGGCCCAATGAAGCCTCTAAGCCATTCCAGTCAACCCCCCATCTCTCCTCTCTTACTACGGGCGGAATAGGCTAGTTGATGGTTGTTTTCTCTCTTTATTACTTCCAGGGTTTTGGGCGGACTGATAACTTGCCGGAAGTTGCCTCTTCAGTTTAACTGGATATATCTAGTTACCTAAGGTACCGTAGTTGTCTTCGTATCTCGTCTATGTCCTCCACCGGCTTTCTCTATCAGGTGTTGGTTTATGGACAATTCAGGTCTAACCCTCACGATTCCTGCAGGTTTCTGAATCGACGTCTCTCGCGCTCTCTGCTTGTTCTCCGCTCTGCTTCTGTCCTGCAAAAGCGTTGCGCATTGTGTTGACACTCTGTCACGTTATTACCGCGAGCAAATTGCCAGCCTAGAAATTCCTAGATCAACAAAGGCAGACAATGGCTCAACAGCTGGGAGGTGTTCCCTCGCCTTGCCAAGGAGTTGGTCCTTTGTACAAGCCAGATGGAGAGAAGCCAACAGCCACGGTCTCACAGGTTGTCGACTACGACAATGTTCATGTCCTGCCGCAGACTCCTCAGTTGATCGCATTGTTGACGCAAGTTACTTGATTTTATCTCCTCCTCGTTTAGTTTCCCACGGGCTAACGAATTGATATTTAAAGCATGATAAGGGACGCTCGTACAGATAGAGCAGACTTCATCTTTTACTCAAATAGGATCATACGCTTGTTGGTGGAGGAAGGCTTAAATCACCTACCCGTTGTTGAGCAATCTGTAACCACACCAGTTGGCCGGTCTTACGTGGGAGTCAGATTCCAAGGGAAAATCTGCGGCGTATCAATCATGAGGGCTGGAGAAGCTATGGAACAGGGCTTGCGTGATTGTTGTAGATCTGTTCGCATTGGAAAAATATTGATTCAAAGAGACGATGATACATGGCAGCCAAAACTCTTCTACGAGAAGCTTCCGGAAGACATTGCAAGTAGATGGGTGCTACTTCTGGATCCAATGTTTGCAACTGGTTCGAACGAATACTCAGTCTGCCCCAAACGTAGTTTATGCTTACAATCTGTACAGGTGGCTCCGCGACGATGGCAGTCGATGTATTGAAGTCGAAGGCAGTACCTGAAGATCGAATTCTCTTTTTAAACCTCATAGCAAGCCCGTCGGGGGTTGCAGACTTCGCTCGAAGGTACCCTAAGCTGCGAATAGTCACCGCCTTTATTGACCAAGGCCTTGATGATAAGAAGTTAGTAAAGCTTACGTCCAACTATCATGATTTTCAGTTATATCTAACATCAAAACCAGGTATATTATTCCTGGCTTGGGAGACTTTGGCGACCGATACTACACATTATAGATGAGAAACAAGAGCTTCAATTTATACTCATATATAACAAGGCGCTGTCCTAATTCCTCCCAACAACTAATGAATATCGCTCCCGTGATCTGCCCTAGGATATTTCATTTCGCGCTGGACCCGGGGATTTTCAAAGTCGTATCCAAGAGAGAAACAACTGTGGGCAGGGATAAGGTGGGTTGGTGTCGTGGGACTGAATGACGGTTAGGCGTGTTAAACCATTTTCAATGGCAGTGGAACCTCCAGATGCTACTGCTGTATATTTTTCGCTGATGAATCCCTTTTCCTTCCCATGCCAAGATGATTTCTGAAAGTAAATCCACCCACCATCGAATGCAATTTTAAGGATGAGTATCCATCGCACCCAGAACGCTCCTTTAGGGGAGGTGTCTGGGAAGGTAGAATATTTGTGATTTCTAACGAAGCTTCTCGTCAATAATCATCGAGGCCAGCTTCAGCCTGGCCAAGTTCATCTCTGTCAGCTCCGCGTCTCACAGGCCCCGGAGATCCATCAGTTGCTCCGCGTGTGGTAGTCTCCATATCGTTGCCGGCAGCATGCTTAGCAACCGCATCACAGGCATCGATCCAATCCGAGTAAACATCGACGGCAGCGGAGAGATCTAAAGAAGGATTGGGATCCATCAGTGGCAGAACAAAATAGAGTACATCGTAATTGGGATACTCTCTCACAATTAATGCCCGTCTGGAAACGCTGGCCACATATCTTACACGACAGGTTTCCCAGGCCCAATTTCTTATCAAGCTTCACTACTACACAGTTCTCATGGTTGCAGAACAGACAAGAAAACGTGGTTGGAAGAGGTTCTTTCTGCACCGCGGTTAGCAAACAACCCGTGTTGCATCTGCGGAAAAGGCGCATTAACTTGCCTTCTTGGGCCCAACCGGTTTGCGGCTCGACTTCTTGCGCTTGCCCTAGACAACACACAAAACAACCTATAATCAGTGGACGCAGCACAAATTGAGGGTTTAGGCGCCTATCAATCAGAAGAAAGAGGGGCTGGGAAAGACTCAGTCTACCATAATTTAGCCAGTTCGCAGAGAGCTATTTCTGATGCGCAAGCGAGTCGTTGATCTGAATAGCACACCGAGATTCAAAGAGAGCATAAGTAGAACATGCGGGTTTTGTGTATTGTTCTCTGAGAATTATGCAATGGATGAAGAAGATGAGGGTGAGGGTCAGGAGGGTCAGGAATGTCAGGATGAGGATGGGGATGAGGATGAAGATGATGTCAACACGTTCTTATGAATTTCAGGTCTGCCCGGGGTGGTGTCCCGAGGCCGGGGAACTATTAATGGTGGATACTACTCCGGGTGTCGGACACACTTCCATCACGTGATCTGCTTTCCACCATAGAGTCATTTTCGTAGCATGCAAACTCTGCAATCAATCAAGCTTGCCACTCTGTTAGATTTATATATCAAATTCAATATACAATATATCTAACTAGAAATAAAGCTTAGAATCTTATTATTTTTTACCTGTTACATTTATTGAATAGACAATTATTTAACTTTATAGGTTTTTGTTATTTGAATTTGTAAAATATTAATAAACTTCATAATGTTATAGTAATTATAATACTCTTAGATATGTCAAAATAAAATATTTTTAATCTAGTATAAATTGATTTAATTTAATTAAATATTGTGATATTAAAAAATGATTTGATTTAAAATTTAGTTAGTTAAAATATAGTAATTTTATAATCTATTTATTTAAATAATTTACTTTTTTAAAAATTATATTAAAATTAAGATTTTAGTAATTAAAAGATTATATATATAAAGTAAAAATACTGTTTTAATAATAATATAAAACAACTAAGTTTAAATATTATATAAATAAAATAAAAATATTATTTTAATAATATAAAAATTAGTATAATAAATTTTAAGTATAAAATATTTAAAATATAGTTTTTTATAATATTTTTCTATTTATAAAAGTATTAATATATAAAAAAATATTTTTTATCTTTTATAATATTTACACTTTATTTTTATACTAGTTTTATATTACTAAAATATTATATCAATTTTATTTATAAAATATTTTTATTATTAAAGCTTTATTTTAATATTTTATATTATTTAAATAGTATTTTTATTATTTTTATATAAATATTTTACTATTAAAATTTATTATTTATTATAAAATCTTTTAAATATTATATTATTCTAAAATAAAATTTATAATTATATATTTAAAGTTATATTTGTTGATTAAATTTATAAAATAAATAAATTTTAATTTAAATAAATATTATAATCTTTAACTATATATATTTAAATTTAAAAAAATAATAATAATTTATATTATTAAGATAATATTTTAATTATTATTTTATAAATCTATTATTAAAGCTTTATTTTTATTATTTTTATAAGTTTTTTTTATTAATAAAAATTTAAATTTATATTAATTTTTTTCTCTTTTTTAATAATTTTTATATTTTTATATATATTAATTTATTAATTATTAATTATATTATTTTTTATAAAATTTAAAATTTATATTAAATTATTTATTATTTAAAAAATATATTTAACTTTTATCAATAATAACTAATTAATAAGTATTAAAAATTTTATAATTTAAAATAATTACAAATTAATATTAATATAAATATTTAAAAGTAAATTAAAAAATAAAAATTAAATAAAAAATATTTAATATTATAACTTTTGAAAAAAAGAATATTTAATTTAAAACTATTTATATAAATAAATTATTTAGATAAATAAGTGAAAAATCAATTAGATAAAATAATAATTTAAAAAAATTTTAATTTAAAAAAAGTTTTTATTCTAAATAAAAAAGTTATATTAAAATCTTTGAATTTGAATAGATTAATAAGAGAAAATCTTTTTATTATATATATCAAGATAATATTTAACAAATATGCTATTTCTTTTAGATTCTTAGTTCACTTTGAAGTAAATAAATTAATTTTTATATTACATTCACAAGATAGCCAAATCCTAGTTTATGTTAGGGAGCGAATGCGAGCTGCATAAGAAGGAAACTCTCTGCGTTGCTAACTGCTATATAACGAAATACTAAGCTTGATGGGATGAAAGGGCGTTACGTTATAAAAACCCGCATGGTCGTTTGGTCATGTGATGAGGGTTAGGCCTAATCGGGCGCCGAGCTTAATCCGACATCGAGTCTAACCGGGCGCTCAGTCGGGCTCAGTCGGGCGCTGAGCCTAACAGTTTATATAGATCAGTATTATAGTCATTGACTACTTATCTCAGATGAAGAAGGAGAAGAAGAAGAAGAAGAAGAAGAAGAATAATAAAAATTTTGTTTTGAATTTATATGCAGCAATGTCCAACTGTATGTCAGATTTTTGAGATAAAAAAAAGCTTTTTGAACAAAAAGAAATGAATGTGTTGAAGATAGTTGAGTTGAATATTTAATGATGGATTTATGTTAAAGCTAGTTAACTACTTCTCTGGAGATTAGAAATCTAAGTTGAAAAAGGATGTATAAGAATGTATAATAGAATGGCAAGCCTACTAGAATTCATGGAATTATTGTTAGTCAAAATTCCCGGGGAGTGGCCACAAGATCGGATGTTCATCTCAATGTTTTCCTCTGGCAGAGATGTTCAACCTACGAGGTTACTCCATCCTGACTTGTACAACGGGAGAGTTCTGTGGCAACTTCGGAGGCAAGGAGAGGAGGTACTTGGGTGTACTGTGCATACTCTGTGCATATTGTAAGGTACATAACTTATTATTACATTTTTACATACATACGTGTACTATAGGTACGAAGCAATAGGTACCCTCCTGCGTACACCCATTCTGTGTTGATACATCCTAGGTACCTCGTATAGTTAATCATTTCTCCGCAATTAAAAGTAAAAAGCTCAACACTTTGGAAAGCTTCGTCACACTCTTGCTCTCTCTATATCTCTCACGTACTCATACACTCACACACTCTCTCCCCTCTATCGTTTTACACTCCAGGTTTCAATCCATGGTCAAATATTATTCCTTTGCCGTTAGCGTCTGTACTGTACGTTCTCGTAACCAGTTCAACGCCCAATCTTTGTGCAGCTGAAGGTCATCCATACATATCCTGTTTCTGCGCCGTTAACTTAACAACCAATTCATCCTCCATTGGATCAACCATTTCTGGATTTCTGATTCTTCACCCCTCCCTCTTCTATCCTATCCCATCAGTCTTTCCCCAGTCTCTCTTCTCTTGGTTGTAAACGCTACTATAAATACCCGAACCAAAAACGAATCCATTCTGGCAGATCGCGACGAACATGCCACCACCCCCGAAGCAACGGAAGATTGCCATTGTCGGCAGCAGATCAGTGGGTATGTACACAGATAAATTGCCAGCTTGGTCAAAACACTTTTGTTTTCTTGCATGTGTTAACTTTTGTGTCCCGGGGTGTTAACAGGAAAATCCTCTCTTACTGTCCGGTTCGTCGATGGCGTGTTCGTCGAGAGCTATTACCCCACGATCGAGAATACATTCAGCAGCACCATCAAATACAAGGGCCAGGATTTCGCCACGGAGATCGTGGACACTGCTGGCCAGGACGAATACAGTATCCTGAATTCGAAGCATTTTATTGGCATTCATGGCTATATCATTGTTTACTCAGTCGCGTCGCGCCCTTCCTTCGACATGGTTAAAGTAATTCGGGACAAAATCCTTAACCATCTGGTAATTGTTGCAAAATCTCTTCTTATTTTCAAATATATATACTCTCTCTATATATACGGTTCTGGCTGTTCAATTCAAATGCTAACTCATCAACGATTATACCACAGGGAGCGGACTGGGTACCTCTAGTGATTGTCGGAAACAAAAGCGATCTCAGACCAGACGTGCGACAGGTTACCGAAGAAGAAGGAAAGAAACTAGGAGAGGAATTTAACTGTGCCTGGACCGAGGCAAGCGCCCGGCTAGATGAAAACGTCTCCAAAGCTTTTGATCTGATGATTGCTGAAGTCGAGAAGTCGCAGAACCCGACCGAACCTGACCGGGGGAACAGCAAATGCACCATTATGTAACAACATTAGAGACCAGTCATGAGATAATGCCTTTTTGAAAGTTGCTTTTCATGTTATTTATTTAATTTTTTTTCCCTTTTCATTTTCATTTTCGCTTTCCTTTACAGTTTCATTTGTTTGTATAGCCAACACAGGTTACAATGGCTAGGATGACCGGTTTGTTCAAGTGAAAGAGACTCTTAGGATTCCAGGGTCCCGGGAATGTGTGACATTCTGGAACGTATTCCCATGAACCTCCATCATTTCTTTTTCTTATTCTTCTTTGCTTTTTTTGGGATTTTTAGTTTTCTTTGGAGTCGCCCTTCCACTGTATTACTCGCTCAAGATTACAGGTTTCAGGGATCGGTATTTGTTGCTGTTCTTATGGTTATAATTCGAGAAATCGACAAACCGAAGCTTTCATATTGGTGTATTTTTATGCCTGGTCTTCCCTATAGTATTTGTCTTTTCTTTTTTCTATTTCTTTTTTTTAATTTATTTTTATTTAATTTTTTTTTATTGCGAGTACGGCAGCATAGACGACTGTTCCTATTGAGGCGCACCAAATGAATTTTATTTTTTTAATTTAATACACATTGCATTTCCAGCTTCTAGTCAATCAGTGCATTTGTAATGGGCATTCACAGACGCATTTGTTAGAAAGCAGAGCCTTAACCACTCTCCACACGTTATAGCCTCTGCTCTCTTTCTCTCTATCCTTCTTTTTTATCCCCTCCCATCTAGCAGAGATATCTAGGCATATTGCAGAGAAATTGTACAAACGTTGGTTAGATCAACTCCAACCCTGTGCACGGGCCAGGCCCTAATAATATATATATCCTCTCTTTCTTTTCCCCTCTATTTTTTTCTGGGCGACAAAACATCCTACCAAAGTTCCCTTTATTATAGCCAACATATCAAATCCCTACAGCCCCTGGCAATCCCGTCCCCTCGTCCGCTACCACCAGTCCTCGTAATATCTCTTTCCTCAGGGAACCATCCAGTGGACTCCAGACCCAGTTGTGGAAAACTTCCTTGAACGGTTACACGGTTACAATAGCGACTAAGAACACCCGCTTTCCAAAACTTCGTCGCCATGCTTGACATCGCGGACTTTGTCCATGGACCTACTCCTGAGAAGATCTCAGAGAGCCAAGAGCGGTTAAGGGAGAATCAGCGACGTCGCGGTGCCCCGGTGGAGGCTGTAGACGAGGTTGTTGCCCTGTTCAAAATTGCTCGTGAAGGTAAGGCTGAATTAATCTACCACTTAAATCTACTTTACGTCTTTATTATCTATCGTATATTTCTGCATTGAACTTGCAGCTTACGTTTTGCTCCCTTATCATAGCGCGCTATGAGGTTACTCAGATAGGCGAAAAGATCAATAAGGTTCAAAAGGAGATTGGGAAAAAGAAGAAGGTTGGCTCTCTTCCACCCAGAGATACCGTACCGGTACTAACAATTATCGTGTTTTGTCCAGAACAAAGAAGATGTGTCTGATCTGATTGCGGAAAAAGTGGAGCTCGGGAAACAAAAGAAGGACGCTGATGCATTGGCTACGGAGAAAGAATTGTTAAGAGACCAAAAGCTCAGGACCATCGGAAATTATGTCCACGAAGATGTTCCCACCAGCCAGAACGAGGTTGATAGTCCTATGGTTTTTTTTGCTCCTGCTGTCTGAAACCAATACACTAACAAGCAATGGATTTTTCGATTAGGACGACAACGCAATTCTCTCGTCATGGGCGCCAGAAGGGTTCAAAGAAGAGAAGCCGGCCTTCTGCCTTTCACACGACGACATCCTTCATCGCTTGGATGGCTTTGACCAAAAACGCGGCACCAAGATCTTTGGGCATCGAGGGTATTGTCTCATCAACTATGGCCTTCTCTTGAATCTTGCTCTGGTAAATTACGGGCTGGAGTTTCTGTTCAAGAAGAAGTACACCCTCAACCAGCCGCCTTACTTTATGCTGAAGCAGTTTATGGCAAAGACAGCTCAGCTTGAGCAGTTCGATGAGGAGTTATACAAGGTCACGGAGAATGAAGACAAGGCATCGGAGAGATATCTGATTGCAACTTCTGAACAGCCTCTGTCTGCTTTACATAGCGGAGAATGGCTTCATGATACCGATCTTCCCATCAAATATGCTGGTTATAGCACTTGCTACAGAAAGGAGGCTGGCTCTCACGGCAAAGAGGTAATGGGGATTTTCCGTGTGCATCAATTTGAAAAGGTAAGTTTCGACAACTTATGCATGAAGACTTCCTGGGATGCGAGGCTGACACTACCGTGTATATAGATAGAACAATTTGTGATAACCAAACCTGAGGATTCTTGGGATTCCTTCAAGGATATGATGAAGAATTCAGAGGAATTTTACCAATCTCTCGGTCTACCATATCGAGTTGTCGATATTGTTTCTGGTGCGCTGAATAATGCCGCGTCAAGGAAGAATGACTTGGAAGCATGGTTTCCCTCCCAGGGCACATACAAGGAGTTAGTCTCGTGCTCGAACTGCACCGACTACCAATCCCGAGCATTGGAGATACGATATCGAGCAAAGAAGGATTCCGCCGATGAGAAGGACTGCAGCGACGAGAATAAGAAGACTTACGTTCACGCATTAAACGCTACCCTGTGTGCCACAGAGCGCACGCTGTGCTGTCTCTTGGAAAACTATCAAACAGAAACGGTGAGTTTGCAAAGGGCTGCTCCATTACTGCCTATCTCAAAAACATAGCCACTAACCTAGATCCCCCTTTTCCCCTTTTGTATAGGGTATCATCGTTCCCGAAGTCTTGCGGAAGTATATCCCGGGTCAGCCTACTGAAATTCTGTATACTAAGGATCTGGTTGAGAAATCCAGCGCGGATAAGTCCAAGTCGAAAAACAAACAGAATCCTGGGCCGAATAATGGTTGTGTCATCCAGGAGATGCAGAACTTGAAGGTATAAGGGGAAGGGCGGGGATATGTGTACTGGGCAGATATTGCATCGTACTCTCTGTTCGTATGACGGAGCAAGTGACTTCAGTTTCAACATTTTATATAGAATCTCATTTCATGTTTCCGCTACGTCTAAACGAGATAGATATCTAAGATACCACTGAAGTACTGGAAAGCAATTGCTTGGAATGAATGAATGTAGTAAAAAAGTGTTGTGTCAAATAAAAATAACTTAAATATACAATCTTTAACCCACTTCCATCCATAATAAACAGATACCATTAGACATTTGGCAATTTATTTACTTGTAACTAGTCATTACATTAGAGATTAAAAATATCTCCAAGCTCCAACCGGCGAATCGGACTGGTAACTCTGATTTATCTTGGTGGGCGCATAGTTAGTTTTTAACTATTTACCTTCCTCGCCTCTGAACCTTAAAATGAACAACCTTAGATCCAACGGAACACTTTTATTCTGAATCGCTTCTCGTTTCTTCCAGGTTGAAAGGTTGAGCTAATTGTAAGAATACCTCCCATTCCATTCTATTGACTATGGCGTCCGCCGCAAGAGATATCAGAAACAACCAGGAAAGGCTCGCTCGATATGTTTCTCGCAGTTTGAGCTTTTCTACCTCCCCCACCGCAATTTTCCACTCCCCGCCATCGAGTTACGGCATGGTGCAAGCCGCAAATGCAGCAGCGCTTAAACCACTAAAGCCGTTCGCATCAGGTGACATTAAAATATTGCTGCTGGAAAACGTAAATCAGACGGGAAGAGATATTCTGTCAAAACAGGGCTATCAGGTTGAGTTTCTAAAGTCTTCGTTACCAGAGGATGAACTGATTGAGAAGATTCGGTTTGTTTACAGTCACACCCTTCTTCTTCTCCTCCAGAGATAAACCAGAAAAGAAAGAAAGAAAGAAAGAAAGAAAAGAAAACAAACAAGGGCTAATCCAAACCTTTTCTTAAAGGGAGGTACATGTCATTGGCATACGATCAAAGACCAAGCTGACTGCACGGGTGCTCAAAGAGGCTCGCAATCTCATTGTCATCGGCTGCTTCTGTATCGGAACCAACCAAGTCGATCTCCAGTATGCTGCTACCCATGGCATAGCCGTTTTCAATTCACCCTTCAGCAACTCACGCAGTGTTGCGGAGTTGGTCATCAGTGAGATCATTGCGCTGGCTCGTCAACTATGCGATAGGTCAAGCGAAATGCACAATGGGATGTGGAATAAAGTGAGCAGTAAATGCTGGGAGGTGCGGGGGAAGACGCTTGGTGAGTTGACAGGAGAATGACGTGCCCTGTCTTAGGTGAAAGGCAACAGCTTACATATATATGTTATTCTATGCTTAGGAATCGTGGGCTACGGCCACATTGGATCCCAGTTGTCCGTACTAGCAGACGCAATGGGCATGAATGTGATCTACTACGACGTTGTCAATCTGATGGCGATGGGAACGGCGCGACAAGTCCCCACCCTGGATGACCTTCTCAAAGAGGCCGACTTTGTCAGCTTACACGTCCCAGAACTCCCTGAGACCAAGAATATGATCGGTCCGGAACAGCTGAGCCAGATGAAGCGAGGAAGCTATCTTATTAACGCCAGCCGCGGAACCGTCGTTGACATCCCTGCCTTGATCCATAAAATGCGAACTGGAGCAATTGCTGGAGCTGCGCTTGATGTCTATCCCAACGAACCAGCGGGTAATGGTGACTATTTCAACAATGATCTCAATCAATGGAGCACGGACTTGAGGAGCTTGAAGAACTTGATTCTGACGCCACATATTGGCGGGAGCACTGAGGAAGCACAGAGCGCGATTGGCATTGAGGTTGCTGAGGCGCTCGTGCGCTATGTAAATGAAGGTGTGACTGTAGGGGCTGTCAATATGCCCGAGGTGAATCTGCGGTCGTTGACGATTGAAGAGCCCAATCACGGACGAGTCAATGCTCCCCCTGTTTTTCCATATTTACTTTTGAAATCTCTATCAGATAACTAACTTATATGTGCGAATTAGGTCATCTTCATCCATCAGAATATTCCTGGCGTGCTCCGGAAGGGTAAATCAAGGCTTCCCTCTTCCCTCGAAGCCCCATCTGAAGACCTCTCCTTCCGGCTCTCTCTTTGCTAACAATCACTCCTAGTGAACGAAATCCTTGGCGATCACAATGTTGATAAACAGATGACAGATAGTCGCGGCGACGTAAGCAAACATATTCCTCTAAAACTAGACGGTGTGGCAATTGATGCATTTGGAACCCGTGCTAACAGGACGGGATAGGTTGCATATCTGATGGCAGATATCAGCGACGTTAGTACCAGTGATATTAAGGATCTGTATGAAAAACTCGAGAGTTTGCCATGTATGAATCAAAACCCCCCTTGGTGTTTATATTATGAAGGACGAGACTAGACTGACAATTATTCTAAATGCGTAGCTCGAATCATGACACGAATCTTATATTAACTAAAAATATCGATTTAACACGTACACATATTTATCTACCCAACGAAGTTTACTAGGGAGTGTGAATTACCCGGGACGGCAAACGTGCCACATACGTCTAGATATTATCTGAATATGTAATTTTTTTTTTTTAAATTTCTGTACGTCTCTCAACAGCCAATGTTCATATTTTCGCGTTGGAAACGGGGATTTAGAAAACTTGGGCCAGCGCAAATGTTCATATACATGTAGCAGAGCATGAAAAGTAACTTAGACGAGTAGTTCCTTAAATGTCTTTTATCTACCTCTTATCTTTCAGTAATGCCATTGAATTGTTCACTTGGTAATTAGTACATATAATAAATGGGAGAATGATATGTTATTTTGCAAATTTATTGAAATACCCTTTCTCCTCATTTTACAAGCCCAAACTCCAATGAAAACATAAGTGATGTAAATCGGTACCAATGGAAACGCAGAGTCTCTTAAAACGACGTCTATGCCATTGCAGTGTGCTTCAACCGAGACTCGAGAACAGGAACTCGAGTACTTAAAGGGAAAATGGAGAGAACAAGAGTGCTGACGAATCATTGTTGTGCCGCCCATTGATGACCATAGAGATCATTGCCGGTGGTCATAGTAAGGATTGGTCTCCCTTGACCGGGTCCTATCTCGAAATTCCTGACTACGACTTCGCCTCCTCGAACGATCCCGATCATAATCTCGCATTTCCACAGGATCTCTTCGTCCATCATCGCGGCCCCTGCCGCGGTCAGAATGCCCATTGTAATCTGGAACATACGAGTCCAAGCCACCTTCCCTGCGAGGTGGATGGCCGTCTCGTCTGGATTCGGGACGACTGTCTCCGCGCCACCCTTGCCCGCCAGCCCATGGTTGATGTGAAGCCACAGGTGGTTTGGGAGGTAGCGTTGAATCCCTTTGCCAAGCTTGGAGGTGTCCACGAGGCTCATCTGACACCTGTCTTCTGTGGCCCTGTGCGACGTCATTGATGCGACTGTCAAAGGGTCGCCGACTAGCCCCAGGAACCCCATTTGCAGGAGGGCCACGGGCTGCACCGGGTATTCGACTAGATTTTTGATCGGAGGCCTGTCTAGATCCTGATCCCGAGGACCATTCGCCATTGGGTCCCATCCCAACTGACCCTCCAGCCGGTGCAGGAGGTAATGCAGCTTTTTGCCCACGAAATTTCCGCCTGTCTAACTCGTGGGAGTCTTCAAACACGGGTATTTCGCCAGGACGGGCTGGTAATGGAGGATTACGGAAGAAGGGATGCTGTAGAGCGTCGATTGCATTGATCCTTTTTCGCCAATCTAGTTTAAGAAGCTCGTTTAGAAGAGAGATAACTCCCGGTCCTTGTCTGTGGGACATATTAGAATCACTAGCATCCGAATTTTATTGAGGGAAATATAAATTTTCGAAACGAACTCTTTGAAAACAGTGGCAAGAGTGCCGTGTTTGTTGCCGAAGGATTTCACACCATCACAACCAGGTAATGAACTCCAACCCGGCATATTTTCTTCTGTTGGGGAACCGACAAGACTGAAGATGAGATGAGCCTGATTTATGTCACTGCTACCTGCAAGGATTGGCTTCCCCTTAAACATTTCACCAAACACACAGCTGGGTGAGAAATTAGTATCCGTGAAGGACTGTCTCCGTTAAATATAAGGACTCTTACCCAACACCCCACATATCAATTGCCGTAGTATACTTCCGAAGCTGAAGTAGAAGTTCCGGTGGTCTATACCATCGAGTTACAACTAACGTTGTGTAGTCTCTCATAGCTTCTCCGCCTCCTTTGCCTGGCTGTGGAGGCGGTTCATCATATGGCCTAGCAAGGCCGAAGTCTGCAATTTGGAGGATCCCTTTATTGTTGATAAGGAGATTCGCCGCTATTTGCACTGTTAGCTTGTGGCGTATCGGCCAGCGGGGAAATCCTTAATCTAACCTTTCATATCACGATGCAGGATTTTATTCTAAACAATCAGTTACTTAGGAAATACAAGGCATGATCACAGGAGTTAATGTACTTCATGTAAATACCGTAAACCTTCAAGGAGCTGTAGCATATAGCACTTGATCTGGGGCTCGGTGAAGTGGACGCTGGGGTTTTCTAACAGGCCGGAAAGGTCGTGCTCCATATATGGAGTGACCATGTACATGCTAGGCTTTTTCCTTCCCTCCCCTTTTAAAATTATGAGCACCGCTCTGACGAAAGAACAGGAGACAAAAACGAAAACCAACCTCGAGGGCGTTCGACAGCCATTTCCTGAAGCCGAAGAATATTAGGATGAGACAGCATCTTCAGAAGTTTGATTTCTCGCAACGCTGTTATGGGAAACTAGCGAAGGTGCGTTAGAAGAAGACCCCAGTCTCCAGTGCAATTAACTTACCCCATCCTTCTCATTATGCATTAATATCTTTTTCAGTGCAACTATGGCGCCGGATTTTTTGGAGCGTGCTTTGTACACCTCTCTAGTATGCGCATATTAGATTCCCATTCATCAAAAGAACCGTCATTTCTGACATACCCAAATGTGCCTTCTCCCAACTTCCCCAGAAAATCAAACTCACGAATACTCAAACAACCGTGAAAACGCGGATTCCCGCAGTTGTCGCGTTCCAGAGGAACTCTAGATTGAGGTGAGGAGTTGGGAATGACCATATTGTCCAATCTTAACAAAGTCCTATGAAGGACTTGGAGTTTGTATTTTAGTTAACTCTCCCGGTAGGAGCAACTCTCATTTGAGCTCTCCTAGACAGCGGCAACAGAACAACAGGGGCACCTCTATGGCTTCAGCTCGTCTATGGGGTGGTCAGATGTAGTTTGAGCGGACATTGGATCTCAACGATGTGGGGGGGGGGGGGGGGGGAAATCAAGGATGCAGATGGGTTTCGACAACGAAAGGCAGAATATTTCAGGGTTCCGCAAAGCGCAGCTCGAAGCTTCCGAAGCTGTTATAAAAGTTCTCTGGTATAGCTATAGGGGAGCGAATATTGCGCTCGATTCAACTCCGGAGAGGTATATAGGGTTGGGTTGTCTGATTGACCGTGGATCAAAAGCATTTAGCGTTTGATTTCTGCCAGCTCAGAAGGTCCATAAACAATGCTCTGGTGATATGCGCTCTAAAAGATGTCTCTGATTGCCACACCGAGATTGTTGAACAGCAACAGTAGCGTTGAGATGTGAATCAAAACTGCGGCGCAAAACGCGACCGATGATCGCAGCGGGAAGTGAGAGCAAAATACGCTAGACCCTAAGTGGACGCAAGTTGAATAGTTAACTATCATGTGATCTCATTCAATTACCTAATCACATCCTTCTCTCCTCTTTGGACTGACTCATCTGAACTCGTTCAATCCGCGGCAGTAGAAGAACAGAAGTATAATCAGCCAATTGCTTGTTCCAACCGTGTCCCTCATAGTCCGTTTAAAGGTATGCTTCCTTGGAATTGATACTGCTTTCACATCTCACTAACTCGTATATGCGGGAAGAAAGCTATTGGATTGGATCCCTCGAGCCATGCCTTCCAATCACCCCATTAAGATTCCACCAGTTCGGCCGCTCTACCGGTTTGCCGCAACTTCTCTTGGGGCTAGCATGTGGTTCTTCGTACGTTGAATGTACCAAATCCAAATGCGGACCCCCCAAATACTTGTCATTTTCTGACCTGTCTCATCTGGGATGTTATAGTTGATGTATCGCGCAAAGAAAGACGGTCCTGCGCTGCTTGGTTGGAAGCATCCTTGGGAGCATTGAATAGACTTTTCGATTACGATATACCGTGGAGCAACAGAAAGGGGGAATTGACAACAACCTGGAGCCCTAGTCGGATGGAGTCCTGCGGTGTTTAGCTCTTTAGAACCATACGCAAAAAATGTGTTTTTAAGGTGTGAGACTGCAGTGCGATATATCGGGCTATACACTTTAAACGGAAAGAAAGGAGTTGAGAATTCCATTTTACCGGATGCTATAGGTAGCATGTATTATGAGTTATAAGTATCTGTATCATATTGCTCTATTCCCACTTTGTATTCAGTATAACACGCTTGCACGGCAATTGAAATATATTGCTTGAAGGCCTTGCATCAGGAAGGACATTCGGTCATGCAAATTGGAATCGGTGTAAGCACCTATCCTCGGTGGTCCTTTTCACCAAGGAATGTTCGTATACATAACGCTCTATATTCTAGAAAATGTACGATGTCTCCCTCAAAGAAAACAGTACCAAGAATACGCTAAAAGAGTGCATAGATATATGGCAAGACCATCTCCCAATACCACTATGTTTCCTCAAGCAAAACTTTATACCGTCGCCGTTGCTTCGCCTGATCTGGACGATACCAGCAGTGAATATATCCAACAAGACGGGCCAGCCTAGGGAAAAGTTGCCGTTCCCCGATCCATGCGATAGCAAATCCAACAAGCGCAATGGCCAGGATCCAAACTTTGAACCAGGTAGACATCTCCGTGAGTTGCATGAAATTGAACAGCCATTTGGCTGGTTCGAAAAGCATATACGTAGAGAAAAGAAATGTTACGATGATGGTAACAACAAAAGGAACTGCACAATTTGATCAGCTTCTGGTAAAATTTAATCGTTATAGTCAAACCGAAACACAATCAAGGACAGGAATATTGACGAACCATTCGAAGTCATCGGCTGCCTAAATGGGCGCCCCACGTTGAGTACAGGCCCGGAAAATATATACTCGAAGCATGACAAAAGGAAAAGCGCTGTGTTTTGGGAGTTTGCCACGTTGGTGTCGTTCGAGTTTCGTGTCGGGGGTATATACCTGAAGCAAGAGAAACGTCGTTAGGTCCTGGATTTCGGAAGTCTAGATGAAAATTCTTACCAGTCCTGTAGCTGTACCGTTTCAAACGCAACGGCCTGCACTATAATGCAAATACCAATCTGACCAAGAAGCGGAACCAGCACTTTACGGCAAACTAGATTTGATGTCGGTGCTTTGCGGCCAAGGGTTGGGCTCGGTCCGGTCCAACCCACTAAACAGAGGTTAATGAGGCTTCTACAATAGGGGCCCGTGGCAGGTAGATCTCACTGAATATTGCAATCGGTAATATCAAGAGAAGATCAATGAATAAGAACTATTACCGGTTAGCAATGGCAAGCCAAATATGGCATCTGGTTTTTAACCCACCTGGAAGTCTCCCAAATTCGATGCAGATGCATACAGGAAGCTCACAGAGGTAAATTGTATTGCGGAATATAAGCTCATAAATTTGAAGCAGCAGAAGCTCGTGACCAGCGCCGCCCTTCCTTCTCTACGCTGCATTAGTACAGAGCTTGACATCGGCGGCGCAATGAACAACTTACTTGATAACTTTCGGAACGCAGGATATATCAAACACTCGACTAGTGAAGGGGGCTGCCACTGATGCCTCTGCCTCAGAAAGAGAAATACCGACATCCGCAGCCTTCAGCGCTCCACAGTCATTTGCCCCATCACCGCAAAACCCGCAAGAGTAATCTAGAGACTGGAGTTTTTCGACTAGCTCATGCTTCTCATCAGGTGACATGCGGGCGAAGACTTGGCCATGAACAAGCAGCTGGTTGAAATGTGTCAGGCTAGGGTTCTTTCTTCGTTCGCAGTGAGGGAACGTACTTTATTTAGGACTTCCACGGATCCATAATCAACAATCCATCGAAATACATCACCACTAACTGCTATGGAGTATTTGGGTGGTTGGTAATATCGGTAAGGTATTGATAAGTCGTTTCCATCGAGAGTCGAAAGTGGCTATAAATTTGTTAAGACGATGAGTTGCCACTAGATACATAAATCGACATACCGTGAGAGTGTTTTCGTCAAGTTGATAGGAAGCATCTTCCGTGCTCTCCCAGCTCAGGCGGGCACCCGGATCAAAAGAATTGCCTGTAAAATGGTAAGCATCAAACCGGAACGTATCATAGAGTTTACTTACCTGCTACAAAACGGGGTATAAAGCATGGGCCGGAGGCATCTATAATACCACATTCGCGGGCAACACTGACACCTGTCAAAATATTATCTCCGGTACACATGATACTACGGATATGTGCTTGATTTAGATCGGCAATGACATCTTTGGTGGTAGGTTTCAGTTTGTTCTCGAAGATAATGAACCCCGTAAATTCGAGATATGACTCGGCCTCCGGTCGAGTCAACTTTTGGACTTTCATCCAACTCAGTTTCTTGATATATTTTGTTGCACAGGCAATCACGCGGAAACCTCGATGGGTGTAAAAGCTAAGCAGATTTTCGAAATCGGGAGGTACTACAGACAATATTAACATGGAAACAGGGTTTAATTGCATTAATATACTAACAACTTTCGGGGAGGCATATATCCTTCATGCATTCTGGTGCCCCTTTCACGAAAATATAGGCACCGGGATCCCCAAACCGTCGAGTTATAACACTTGACCGGCGAAGTTGAGAGACAAATTCGAATAACCGAAGAACGCCAAGTTCGAACGGTTTACCCTATCAGATAGATCGTTAGTCCACCCAAAATCAAAATATTCCAGATATACACTTACATCTGGTTCATTCTCATTATCGTCGAGAGAAAACCCAGCTGGAGGCCTGGCGATGGATGGAGAAATATAATCGTGTTCCGAGTCGAAATCTGTAGCATTATGGTTCCCTTCTTCAAACGACCACCCAGTAAACTGAAACATTTTCACATCTAAGGGGTCTCCAATCAGCTCTCCATTTACTATGCGTAAAGAGTGACACGTCGCCATCGTATAGAGGATCTCTCTGTGCGCACGGAAGTCCACGGTAGGATCCCTTTCATTCGACCGGCGAGGAATGATAGCTGATTGTTTCGGAAGTAGGTCACTGAATCTAGTAGGCCAAATAAAGTCAGTTGGCCTCACCGGATGAATTACGTGTGCTGGGAAATTTATCTACCTTAAGTCTGGTTGGCGTATAACCCTGACCCCTAAGACATCAAGGCCGTCCTCTGTAAGAGTCCCGGTCTTATCAAAACAAACAACGTTGAGCTTCCCACCAACATTAACCCTAGAGACATTTTTAGCATGGATTAATTATACGAACTACCGACATAATTTAATAGCATACCTTTGAGGGCTAATGCAAAATATTTGCTGCTTTTTGAGTCTAGAAAGAGCAAAATTTGTTCCGATTGATAAAGTAGCAGGCAACGCAGGTGGAATAACAATGGTGATAAGGTCCAGAGCACGAATGATAATGATATGCCACGGAAGCTGGCCTAATAGTTAGATCAAAGCTTTCTAATCAAGGATGTGATCACATACCCCCAATCGAACAAAATTTATGAATGATGCGATAAATCCAAAAGTAGCAATAATTCCCATAACTAATATATATCGGAAAGAATCTCGGTAAAATTTAAAGCCAGATGGCTTCGGGAAAAGCATTGAGCGAACAAGGGCACCCTTAGTTGTATTAAACCCAGTTCGTATAACCATTGCCAGCGCGACAGCTTCGTCGCCTTGAGGGTCCTGTGGGCGTCTAGCTCTTATTATCCTCGTTCCGCAGAAAAGAGAATGTTTTGCCACACTAGGTTGAACAGATGGCGCACTTATGTCCAGTGCAGCAAGAGCTTCATTTGTGGCAGGAGTTTTTGCAACGGGGACGGATTCGCCTAGGTTTGGTTAGGAGGGTACTTTTCAGAAGAGGTCAGGGATGACTGACCTGTCAGCATGCTCTCATTAACGATGCAGTCTCCCGATAGAAGGAGGCAATCGCATGGAACCTGAGTAAGGGACGGGTCGGAGACCTCATACACATCCCCTGGAACCAACTCACGAGACCGAATTGATCTCCCTATTCAGAATGGTAAGTCATATTGTTTTGAAGATTAGGCATATAAACAGAGATATGATATGAGTCGTAGGAAAAGAAAGTCATACAAAACCCGCTCCTTAATACCCGGATATCGCATTCGAAGTGAGCGATTTCGCTTAGACGACGCATTGTCTGATATGTTAAGTTAGATCAAACCCTTGAAATTGTATATTTAGAGAAATATACCGATCTAGTCTCTATAGTGGTTGCAGTAATACTGAAGACCGAGATAAGAAAAATGCAGATGGCATAATAATAATATTCATCCAAAAACCAGAGAATCAAGCTGGCAATTTGAAAAATGTAAAATGGATGGAAGGCCTGCAAAGCAAAATTAGCGGGTGAAAGGGATCGTCATACCAGATGAACGCACCTCGTCAACTGTGATTTGCGGAATGCTTTTCTGTTTGATTTCTATAACGTTTGATCCAAATACTTGCTCTCTAAAATCCCGCTCCTCCGCCGCCAATCCAGCTCGTAAAGCTTTAATGTTTGTCCAAGTTGGATCCTTCCAGCCGGTGCACTGTAGGAATTGGTCCTCAGTAATATGGTAGTAAAATCGAATATAGCGATAATCCAAGAATCGTAGATATGGAAGCACCGGATCATATTCATCACCAAACGCAGGAGAGTCGACTTCCTTGTTTGGGACACCGAAGACTGTTGACAAAGGACGGCTATATGGTTGACTTGTGACCTCATGGATCATGAATTGCCCCCATTGATCCTGCCTCGTTTCAGTACTGGAAAACTAATTTAATTATCATAATCCAAAAATGACCTTACCTCAACTGCAGTCCATTGACATTGACATAATGGCACTGGTGTGCCGATTAGTCTCACGCGCCATCGAGGAAGCCACCGGAAGAGCAGATACCCTAGACCACACGATAGTATACAAATAGCCATGTACGTAATATAGCCGGAAACACTGGTGTTGAATCCTGCAATGACCGCAGTCAGGTCCTCAGTGGCGATATATATTTTCTGGCAAGTTGTTTGGCCAAGCTGTGGCCGCCTCATAGAAGCCTTGGACGAGTTATATCGGTGAAGCAATGGCTCATCGAAAGAATCTCGCGGGTGAGAATCCATTGAACGACGAGTTGGGCTTTGTGGGGCCTCTACATCACCCTCATACTCCTCCTCATAGCCGTTAAGTTCCTCATCTTCGTCTTCAACGGCATCGGTAACCGCCCGCTCTGGCGCCTCTGGGCTTTCATGGAAGTAGGTGAAGCTGTGTTGCGAGTCACGTCGAGATTGGCGGGGGACAAAGGAGGCAACGCTGGAGGGAATGCTTTCCGAAACAGGCCCAGCATAGATCTGTCCATACGTTAAAATAGATTCTCTCTGTGTCTCCCACAGTAGTCTTTTTAGATCCGGGACAGCTTGCAGGTGAGACTACTCACCTCTTCATGGGCCATTTCAACATCCGATATTATACTCGCGCTCCTAATAAAACAAACAACCAGTCAAACGAAACCATACCTTAACGCTGGCAATATATAAGGGAGTTACCTGCTTCTCACGGAGCGCCGTCGATATATGGTTGAAGATACAGTAGGTGGCTCATGGCCACCTCCCGTATCTCCTCCGTTCAACGACATCCCCGGTCTCGCCATGGTTAAAGCGCGAGACGCATTAACTATTTAGCCAAAGAGTAGCGCAACGTCATTCTGGTAGGCACATTTTCGTTCGGGGATGTACCGTAGATACAGTATGATGATATCACAAATCAAGAACGCAGGTTTCGGGACCAGTAAATTTGTAAATGTATAAATGCACAGTAGTAGAATAGAATGCCAGTTCCGCAGTGTATGTATGTTGGTTGAATGTTAGCCGAACTTCAAGCTCAATCCTGTGGCTTTTTTGCTTTTTGCGCGGGAGCTTATCATCATGTGACTCCCGATAACGACCCTTGAGCCCGCTCTTGGATTGACGGCGTATGGAAGTGCTCTGATCTGTCCGGGTTGAATGAACTACTCTGGAGTACCGACAGCAACAAGTATTACGCTGCAGTATTATTATTGTATTCAAGTGTTCCACAATCATCTGGTTACTTTGTGCAAGCGGGAGGGATGATACATGAAGTTAGTTATTGGTAACTAAGTTATTGTACACGAAGCCTATATTGCGATAAATACATCGCACCCAAAATATGAAGTAAATCATTATAAATAGATTACAGCCCCATGTATGCTCCGTGTTGTTATATCCAATATGGTTAAATTAAATGGAATTATATTGCGTGTATTCGTTTCAAACAAAAAAGGAAAAAGACAAAGAAAAATGCCCGTTTCTCTCTTAACTAACTACCTTCTTGTGCTGACTGAGCAAACAACGTCCTTCTTGCGCCAAGACCCCTCCTCAACCAAAATCCGCGCTAAGCCTCCTTGGTGAGTCAATCCATTAACATTTTCAAGAAAAACTCAGCGCCAATATCAACCACGAACCATCAACCCGCCAACTTCTTCACTGCTTCTCTTCCATCTCCCATCTCCCATCTCCTCTCTTCTCCCTCCGCATCTCACTGTCACTCTCTCTATCTCTCTCTCACTCACTCACACGTCCCTTATCTCTCCCTCTCTGTGTTCCCCTTCAGATTTCACGTCCCACTTCTCTTTTTATCTGTCACCTATCCTGCAAGGAAAGATGGCGGAGCCTATCAGAAACAAGAAAGTGGACTTTCCCACAGCTCCGTAAGTCGTGTATCCTGCTTTTAGCTTTTTGGCACCTCTTTTTTTATGTGCATTTCTCAAGGGACTTTCTTTTCTGACTGCTATCCTTGTTCGTCAACAGCACTCCCCAAAATACCCCGGCCAACAATGCACCCATCTCCTCCCACGCTCAACAGCCAGGTGTCGCCAGCATTAAAGAAGGTGCGTTTTTTGTTTTTGCCCTTTTGCTTTCTTTTCTTTCTTTTCTTTTTTTCTTCTCTTTGTTTTCCCTCCTGAATGTAGTGTTTTGCCGGGACAACCAACTGACATGAAAAATGTTTAGAGGACCTCGACCGTGCAGCAGCTGCGTCGATATTTGCGCAAAACCCAAAACTGGTGTCAATGATTCAGGGAAAATTGGGCTCTTTAGTCGGTCGATCGTCCGGTTATGTCGAGTCCCTCCCTGCTTCAATTCGCCGTCGCGTGGCAGGCCTGAAAGGCATCCAGAAGGAACATTCGAAACTTGAGGTAGAATTCCAACAAAAGGTTCTTGAGCTAGAAAAGGAATACTTCGCCAAGTTTGAGCCTCTATACAGCAAACGTGCAACAATCGTTAACGGGAATAGTGAACCCACTGAAGACGAAGTTAAGGCTGGTAAACGAGCTGATGAAGACGACGATGAGGAAACCAAGGCTGAAGAGGAACCCAAAACGGATGATGGTGAAACCTTGGTTGCTGCTGGTATTCCCGAGTTTTGGTTATCCGCCATGAAGAACCATATCTCTCTCTCTGAGATGATCACTGACAGAGATGAGGAGGCTCTGAAGCACTTGACGGACATCCGCATGGAGTATCTTGAGCGTCCAGGATTCCGCCTGGTTTTCGAGTTCGCCGAAAACGAGTTCTTCACAAACAAAACCATCACCAAGACCTATTACTACCAGGAAGAAAGTGGGTACGGTGGTGATTTCATCTATGATCACGCTGATGGAGATGAGATTGAATGGAAGGAAGGCAAAGACCTCACTGTTAGATACGAGAGCAAAAAGCAGCGAAATAAGAGTAAGGAACCTCTATCATCATAAAAATCTATAATATTATTGTTGAGTCCTAATGATCTTTTTTTGTTTGTCGATATAGGCACCAAGCAGACCCGTATAGTGAAGGTTAAGGTTCCCACCGATTCATTCTTCAACTTCTTTTCCCCGCCAAACCCACCGACCAAGGAAAACGATGATGTAGCGTCCGACATAGAAGAACGGTTGGAGCTGGACTATCAACTCGGTGAAGATATCAAAGAAAAGCTTATTCCCCGAGCAGTTGACTGGTTCACCGGGGAGGCACTTCAGTTTGAGGAGTTCGATGAGGATCTGGATATGGATGACTTCGATGATGATGATGAGGATGACGACGACGATGACGATGACGATGATCGGAAGTCGGATGGGGCTTTGGATGAGGAGACTGATGAAGAGGTAAGATGATCCAAGAATTTGTTCTTATTTAATATCCCACCCGTCTAGCTAAGCTAACCTCGATTAACAGGAGGATGGATCGAAGCCCAAGAAAGAGGCTGCCGAATGCAAGCAGAGCTAGACAAGGTTTTGTTTGTCTCCACGGGTGGATCCTAAATGCTTCTGATGTCTTTATCCCTTCACTTTTTTTTTTTTTTTTCCCTTCTACTTTCCATTTAATCCACATGCGTTCTAAGTCCTTTTATGCTACTTCGATACGATCATGTGAATTTTCTTTGTTTGAGTTGTTCCTCTACACGTTAAGATCCAAATTAATATTCCACACCTACAAAACGGATGTCCACTTTCCCATGCATTTGCCCTTTTTGATTATATTTTTTCCTATATCGCTGTTGTTCTTCGGTATATCGAGTGCGGAGGAGAGGTTGGGCGGGAGAGGGATATGAAGCATGCGTACATTGACTGCAGTCCATACCACCTTGTATTACTCACTGACCATAACACTCCTTCTTTACCATCGTGCTCTGTTTAGAGGGTCGTGGACATATTTATGTCCAAATCAAAAGCTATAGTTTAGAGAATTTTCTTGTTCCTGTTTTCTTACTTCCTATGCTAACGTTTCTAGAATATTCTGATGAAGAAATAACCACGGAACCGAGGGTTTGCAAAGTAAACAAGATATAGCTGTAATTACCTCTCTTCTCTGTTTGATGTTATACTCCTCTGTACGAGGTAGAAAAAGCAGCATCTTTTTGAAACACCTAACTTCACAATTAATGGATGAAACAACCCAGGCAGGGCTGGCAGGGCTGGAGGGGGGGGCGATCACGTGGTGCCCATACCATAGGTTACTCGTACCTACGCCCGGTACCTACACCGGAATGGATGCTCTCCGCAGTTAAAAAGAACCACATTTATTCATCTCTAGCCTGTAGTTGACCTAGCTTGGGGTACCACTCACAGACAGGTCACTGTTCAGGGGCTCAAGTTCAACTGCCTAGACGGCCTAGCATATTAGCCAGGCATTGCTGACCTGGTCTGCCACCTCACTGGCAAAATATTCTTGCCTTCTGGAAGCCCTGGTAGTTTTTCGATTCTCCAGCTTTTTCTCCCACAACAAACAACCCTTTTTGGCCCTGCCTCAACAGAACGGTGTGCAACTTGATTGCTGTGCACTGTACAGCGTCTGCTAGCCCTTCTTCCTCCCTTCGCACGGGTGAATCCTTTTCGTTTATTTTCTTTTACTTTCTTGATGTTTTGGTCTGTCAATGCAGGAACCTCAGATTGTCCAATCCTAATTATCCGTAGCCGTGGACGTCTCGACTCTCAGCAAGTTCAGCTGTCCCGGTACAAATATACTTTTGACGTGTTTTAACGATCACTTTTCGTGTTGAAGTTGCAAATATGGTGCACATTTTTGACGTTGGAACCCGGGCGTGGCAACCTGACCCGACAGAGGGATGGGTGGGCTCTGAGGTCGTGGAGAAGTTAGTGGATGGAGACAAAGTGACTCTGGTCTTTTCCTTGGATAATGGAGAGGTTAGCATTCCACTCCTTGTTTCCAATGGGCTTCTGAATGTATTTCCCCCCTGTGGTGTAGGGATACAGCTGACATCTATAACCTTCCCCCAAAAACAGACCAAGACGGTCGAGACTACGGAGGCAGAATTACAACTGGACAACAATGGATCGCTTCCACCCCTTATGAATCCGTCGATGCTGGAGGCAAGCGAAGACCTCACTAACCTGTCCCATTTAAACGAACCGGCTGGTACGTCCCTGCCACGATATATCCGTGTTGGGAAGATTGCTCTTCCTCTAATAGACTACTCCTATAGTTCTGCAAGCTATTAAGCTCCGGTACTACCAGAAGGAAATCTACACATACAGTGGCATCGTGCTTATTGCAACAAATCCGTTCGCTCGTGTTGATTCTCTCTATGTTCCGCAGATGGTTCAGATATACGCAGGAAAACAAAGGGCTACACAAGCTCCCCATCTTTTCGCTATTGCTGAAGAAGCATTTTCGTAAGCAGACTTTCCGTCGGTTCTTAACGTTCTCATTTTCTAACGTATAAAATCATAGGGATATGTTGAGAGACTCCCAAAACCAAACAATCGTTGTCTCTGGAGAATCTGGAGCAGGAAAAACTGTGAGCGCGAAATATATCATGAGATACTTTGCCACGAGAGGAACCCCCAATCAATCGGGATCGTACAATGCTGGGAGGGTGGATTCAATTAGCGAGACGGAAGAACAGATTTTGGCGACAAATCCGGTTATGGAAGCTTTTGGAAATGCGAAGACCACTCGTAACGATAATTCTTCACGATTTGGTAAATATATTGAGATTATGTTTGACGAGAAGACAAATATTATCGGAGCGAAAATAAGAACATATCTCCTCGAGCGCTCAAGACTTGTTTTTCAGCCTCTGAAAGAGAGAAATTATCATATTTTCTACCAGCTTGTTGCCGGAGCTTCTGAGTCGGAACGACAGGAGTTGGGCCTCTTGCCTATCGAGGAATTCGAATATCTGAACCAAGGAGGAGCTCCTGTGATCGATGGAGTTGACGATAAAACCGAACTCGATGCGACGAGGAAATCGCTCACGACAATTGGCGTGACGGAGGAGACCCAGGCTGATATATTCCGGGTTCTGGCCGCGCTTCTGCACCTGGGAAATGTCAAGATTGTTGCTACTCGTACTGAATCTTCCCTTTCTTCCACTGAACCGTCCCTTGTGCGGGCGTGTGAGATGTTAGGAATTCAGGCAAGCGAGTTCGCCAAATGGATTGTAAAAAAACAACTCATCACGCGCGGCGAGAAAATAACATCGAATCTTACCCAGCAGCAGGCTATAGTCGTTCGGGACTCAGTTTCGAAATTCATATACTCAAGCTTATTCGACTGGCTAGTCGAAACCATAAACCGCGGGTTGGCAACAGAAGATGTCTTAAATAGAGTTAAATCCTTTATCGGAGTTCTGGATATTTACGGTTTCGAACATTTCGCCAAAAACTCTTTCGAGCAATTTTGTATCAATTATGCGAACGAGAAGCTACAGCAAGAATTTAATCAGCATGTGTTCAAACTTGAACAGGAAGAGTATGTCAGAGAACAAATTGATTGGAAATTTATTGATTTCTCAGATAATCAACCCTGCATCGATCTAATTGAGGGAAAACTTGGAGTTTTGTCACTCCTGGATGAAGAATCTCGATTACCAATGGGCTCTGATGAACAATTCGTGACAAAACTGCATCATCACTTTGGTGCAAATAAACAAAAGTTTTACAAGAAGCCTCGATTTGGAAAATCTGCTTTCACCGTGTGCCATTATGCCGTTGACGTTACGTATGAATCTGATGGGTTTATTGAGAAGAACAGGGACACTGTTCCTGATGAGCACATGGAAATTCTCCGTAAGTCTTCCAACGGCTTTGTGAAGGCTGTGCTCGAAGCTGCCTCTGCCGTTCGCGAAAAGGACTCGGCGGCCGTGTCCTCTCGCCAAGTTGCGGCGCCAGGTCGGAAGATCGGTGTTGCAGTCAACCGCAAACCCACTCTTGGTGGCATTTTCAAGTCCTCGTTGATAGAGCTTATGAACACCATAAACTCGACAGATGTTCATTACATTCGGTGTATTAAACCTAATGAAGGCAAGGAAGCGTGGAAATTTGAAGGACCCATGGTTCTTAGCCAGCTGAGAGCCTGTGGTGTCTTGGAGACTGTTAGGATAAGCTGCGCAGGCTATCCTACACGATGGACATACGAAGAGTTTGCTCTGCGGTACTATATGCTCTGCCATTCATCACAGTGGACTTCGGAGATACGCGATATGGCCCACGCCATTTTACGAAAAGCCCTTGGCGACGTCGGTCATCAGCAGCAGGATAAGTATCAGCTTGGGTTGACGAAAATCTTTTTCCGAGCTGGAATGCTTGCCTTTCTTGAGAATCTCCGCACGTCACGATTGAACGAGTGTGCGACCATGATCCAGAAAAACCTCAAGTGCAAGTACTATCGTCGCAGATACCTCGGGGCTCGGGAGTCTATCCTTACCACACAAAGCGTCATCAGGGGGTTTTTGGCACGGCAACATGCAGAGGAAATTCGTCGTATCAAAGCTGCTACAACTATTCAAAGAGTGTGGCGTGGCCAAAAGGAGCGGAAGAAATATGTCAGTATACGGAAAAATGTTATTCTTTTCGAGTCTATCGCCAAAGGTTACCTTTGTCGACATAATATTATGGATACCATCCTTGGAAATGCAGCCAAAACTATCCAACGTGCATTCCGGTCCTGGCGTTCGATTCGTGCATGGAGGCAATACCGCAGGAAAATTATCATTATTCAGAATCTTTACAGAGGTAGAAAGGCGCGGAGTCAATACAAGAAGCTACGTGAGGAAGCAAGGGATCTTAAACAGATTTCCTATAAATTGGAAAACAAGGTCGTGGAACTCACTCAATCCCTGGGAACACTCAAGCGCGAGAACAAAGTTCTTACAACACAGCTCGAGAACTACGAGAGTCAAGTCAAGTCCTGGAGAAGCCGACACAACGCACTGGAAGCTCGAACCCGCGAATTGCAAGCCGAGGCGAACCAAGCGGGTATTTCAGCTGCACAGTTGACTGCATTGGAAGAGGAAATGGCTAAATTGCAACAAAATCATTCGGAGGCATTGGCAACCGTGAAGCGACTCCAGGAAGAAGAAAAGGCGGCGCGTGAATCTCTCAAATCGGCGATTGCCGAGCTCGAGAAATTGAGACAAGCCAATGAGGATCACGAACTCGATAAGGACTCCCTCCGCCAGCAAATATCTGAACTCCAGGATGAATTAGAGCTTGCTAAGAGATCCGTCCCTGTCAATGGGGTTAATGGCGACCTTCAAAACGGAACTGGCTCTCAGCCTCTTGTTAGTGGACTGATCAACCTTGTTTCGTCAAAGAAACCTAAACCGAAGAGACGCAGTGCTGGGGCTGAAAGGATCGACAGCGATCGCTTAAGTGGTGCCTATAATCCACGACCGGTATCGATGGCCGTGCCAAGTGGAAGCCGTGCACGCTCGAATCTGTCCGGCTCCACTTTTGCTCCAGGGGTTGATTCTATCGAAATGGAACTGGAGAGGCTGTTGTCTGAAGAAGACGCACTTAACGACGAAGTTACGATTGGTCTGATCCGGAACTTGAAAATTCCTCTTCCAGGTTCTACGCCACCACCAACAGAGAAAGAGGTCCTTTTCCCATCATACCTTATAAACCTTGTGACATCTGAGATGTGGAATAACGGCTTTGTGAAGGAATCCGAAAGGTTCCTTGCTAACGTGATGCAATCCATTCAACAAGATGTTATGCAACATGAAGGTGAAGATGCAATTAACCCTGGTGCGTTCTGGCTTTCCAACGTGCACGAGATGCTATCGTTCGTCTTCCTGGCCGAGGATTGGTACGAGGCGCAGAAAACGGACAACTACGAGTACGATCGTCTTTTGGAAATCGTGAAGCATGATCTAGAAAGCTTGGAATTTAACATCTATCACACTTGGATGAAAGTCTTGAAACAAAAGCTTTTCAAGATGGTTGTCCCAGCTATCATCGAGTCTCAGTCACTTCCAGGGTTTGTGACTAACGAAACTAACCGCTTCCTTGGAAAACTCCTCCCATCTAACCCCCCGGCTTACAGCATGGACAATCTCTTGAGCCTTCTCAACAGTGTCTATAAGGCGATGAAAGGGTATTATCTCGAGGACACTATCATTCTGCAAACCGTCAATGAGCTTCTTCGTCTTGTCGGTGTCACTGCATTCAACGATCTGCTGATGAGAAGAAATTTCTTGTCATGGAAGCGTGGCCTGCAAATCAATTACAATATCACTAGGATTGAGGAATGGTGTAAGAGCCATGATATGCCGGAAGGTACCCTGCAACTTGAGCACCTCATGGTAAGTTAACATTTTCGCATCTCTAGCAAATGCTGCTCACTTACTGATATCTCTTTAGCAAGCTACGAAATTACTTCAACTTAAGAAAGCTACTCTCAACGATATCGAGATTATCCAGGATATCTGCTGGATGTGAGCAATCATCCTCCACCAGAGTTCATCAGACCTTAGCTTCTAATTTAATTCCATTTAGGCTCTCCCCCAACCAAATACAGAAACTCCTCAACCAGTATCTGGTTGCCGATTACGAACAGCCCATTAATGGCGAAATCATGAAGGCGGTTGCCTCTCGCGTTACTGAAAAGAGCGATGTCCTTCTCCTGACAGCAGTTGACATGGATGATAGCGGTCCTTACGAAATTGCCGAGCCACGTCAAATCACAGCTCTAGAAACCTACACGCCATCATGTGAGTGACAAATATAACTCCAGCAGACAGGTACCAGTAATATAGACCTTGACTAACAGTATTGTAGGGTTGCAAACACCTCGTCTGAAACGACTCGCGGAGATCGTGTCCACGCAAGCCATGGCACAGCAAGAGAGGTTTGAGATGGGGGAACAGTCTGAGGCTATCGATGTGTCCGCATAAAGCTCTCACTCTACCATGCGTGCCCGCCATTAGCTTTTCCTTTTTAAACTAAAGGAGTTTCTCTACTATTGCCACTCTGCTATTCATCTTCCCCTCTCAGTTGGCCCCCTATGTCTCCTATAGACTCTTGTGGGGAGCGTCCGCAAAACTGCCTAGATTGGTTAGCTTTGCTTCCCCCTGTTAACGCCCACCTCCTTGCCAAACTGGAACCGCCTGTATCGCCGTTTTTTTATATCTTCTTTTTCGTCGTTTAAGAACTTGTCTATATCCCAATTTCTTTAATTTGGGAGCTTGTCTCCTTTTTTTCCTTTTTGTCTCTTATTTGATGTATTGATTTTGGCCTACCCTGCTACCTACCAACCTACAGCAGCTTCCTTATAAGATTTGCTTTTTGCACTGGTTCCCTTCATATTATTTTCTATCTGCTTCTTCTTCGGCTAAAATTCTTTGATGCATTGTAAGACTAGCTTTTTCAGGTGGTTTCTTTCGGCGGGGGGAATCTCGGGAGGCGTAACAAAAATATAATCGACGAGACTCCGGTCCGCAATTTTCTCCTTCTATCAAATATACTCCATATTTCGTCTGGTGGTGGTTTCTTCTGTCACTGTCAAATAGTAGATGGATATGTATGTATCATAGTTGAAATGGAATTTAGTCCTGGTAAGAGGGTTTCAAATCCCCGTTTAAGACTCCGTAATCCTCATTTATTGATGACTGTCATCCCTCTTCATCCGAGTCTTGGCGCTATGTTCTGATATGAGAGAGTGGTTGGTAGGTTTGGAAAATAAATCCACAAGCCATGTTTTTTCCTCCTCTATATTTAAGAATCCTTATCAATAATACACCATACCCTTTGTTTTTTTCCCTCCAGTCTCTTTATCTTTTTGACTGGAGAATTGAAAAGCAAATTAAAAGCAGGAGAGCTGCTCTGAGCCTGTAGTACCCCGCCTATCGACTGCCTGTTGACAACCCACCATGAAAACCCTAAACTTCATCACAGGCAATAAAAATAAGTTAGCTGAAGTTCAGGCGATTTTGGGGGATGACATCGAAGTGCAGCATCGGACTATCGATGTGCCTGAGATTCAGGGATCCATCGAAGACATTGCAAAGGAGAAATGTCGGCGGGCGGCCAAAATCGTAGGTCCAAGAATCTCTCAGCTTTCCCTTTTTCTGATCCCGGTGAATATATATCTAGAACCAAATTATGATGTATAGAAGAATGTAGTCTACTACATATTGGCTTTAAGTAGATATTAGGTTTTGGATTGGGATTGTGGAAGATGATCTGGCTAATTTGTGACTGAACAGATACGAGGGCCAGTATTGACCGAGGACACAGCTCTGGAGTTTAATGCATTAAATGGGTTACCAGGACCATATATGTAAGTTTTATTATTTGTTTCCGGCATCCTCAGAATCATTAGTGTCCACCAGGTCATATCCTTTGTTACTCCATATATATTACTCTATCTGCTACGAATGGTTGAGCCGAAAGTATGAACTGGCCGAAAAGATTGAAATTAACATCCAAGTCTAGCAAATGGTTTCTAGAAGCTCTGGGCCACGACGGGCTTAACAAACTGCTGGATCCATACCAGGACAAATCCGTCGTAGCTGTGTGCACATTTGCCTTCTCTAGCGGGCCGGGAAAGGAACCTATGCTCTTTCAAGGGAGGACAGAGGTAATGCATTAGTTACCTTGTTGCCCACTCACGCCACTTCGAACACGGCCAGCGTCAGTGTTCAGGATGGCAATCTCATTTCTAACGCTTGGCTTTCCCTCATAATAGGGTCGACTTGTTCCCGCAAGAGGTCCAACAAATTTTGGTATAATTCCCTATAATTCCCCTCCCTTCCTGTCCAGGATGTAAAAACCGAACAGGATGATGTCAAATCTGATGTTTTGGGGTGGGCGGCATAGGTTGGGATCCCGTGTTCGAGTATCAGGGAAAGACGTTTGCGGAGATGGACAAGCATGAAAAAGTATGTAGAGCCCTCCCACCGCACACCCGTCAATCACGACACTGTAGACTCCCTTCCAGCAGGTAGTCGAGAAGTTTACAAGACCATTGCCGCTGAGATGCTATCAATCCCCATAGAATTTGATTTCCCACCGATCCAAAGCGCTTGCGAAGCTGAAGCAATGGCTCGTAGCAACACAACCCTGACAATTATCCCACGGCTGCCATAGAAAAAAGTTCTAGGGATGCGTGGGAACGGTAAATGGGGTGTAGTGGACGGCTCAATCTGAAGTTTCAGCTTGTGACTTCTTCCAGGCTTCTATCCAAGCCTCGATGCGGGCGCAATTGCTTTCGATATCCACATCTTCCTGACTTGTCAATTCCACAACGATTTCCTCGTCGTATGACTGCCTCGCTTCATCAAGGAGGACTTCGAAAATTTCCGCATCGATGTTTTCCTGCAATTTGCGTTCCGGATAGCCTCTATAGAAATAAATGGCAGGCGATTTGATCAGTATTTTGATCCGTTATGAACGATTCCGTGACCTTCCCAGCACGCACCCACATCCCCACGGGGCAAAAAAAGCTCACAGGGCAAGGGGTTGTTTAAATTACCTGGCAGCTAGCCGATCGTACAATGTAGATGTAGAAGGGCACCGAATCACCACAACAAGATCAATCCAGGACTTGGGAAATATGTCACAGGCATGCCAGTCAATTAGGCACCCTCCCTTGAGCACATCGTCTTCTATCGTATCAAGTAGCTTTACACACAACACTCATCAACGAAGGCCAAACCCACCATAACCCAGTATCATGGAGTAAAAAGCAGCAGAAAAAAATAAAACAGTTACTACGTACCTTATCCTCATCCACAATATAGCACTTCAACTCATCATCATATCCCTCATGGCACTCGCGATCTTTCACGACTTGATTGATGGAGAAGTGTCGCAAGCCGGTGCTCTGCGCTAGTTGTTCGCAATGTACCGTTTTGCCTACGCCTGGTGTGCCAGTGATGATAACATTGGGGAGGGCTCTCATCTCTTCTTGCTGCAGTTGGCAGGATGTTATATTTTCTAACCGAAAGTATATGTAGTTAGTTAAGGAGAAAGAGTAAGAAGAGGAGTGGGGGAAAGAGGGGAATATTTGAACAGTTGAATAACTTGCGACTGGAAAAAAAATTATATAAAATACATCAGCGAAATTTATTGATACGGTGGGATCACGTGGTTTTGATCACCAGGATATATTACGGTGTTGATACGGCGTCTCTTGAAGGAGAGCATGAACCGAGCCTCAGATTAGACAATATAAAATAAAACATTGGAGACAGAAGATTTCATATCCTCTGGATTATCAAATATGGAGACTACTGTCATATTATAGGTGCAGCCAGCGTGTCGAACATATATCTATGGCCCAGTCTAACATCTGGATGAAGCAGCACACTGACTGGGCGATTTTCCCTTCGCGTTGGCGGGGACAATCTAACTTCGTTAGAAATTCCGCACAGAGCGTGGAACAGAATGGTGGGTTTGCAGCTGAATCAACAACATACTTGAGGATTTCAAACTCCTTGTACTTCTGCAAGTATCCGAAGCCTCGACGGTACGCCTTTAAAAGACGACCTGGATCCTGGGATTTGACTCGAGTATCAATTAATCGTTCGATCGCGGGTGATGTTTTGAACATCGGATCAAAGACTAGGAGGTTCGTGCTTCCATTTTTGTGGGTTTCGAATCCGACGACTGTCAGAGAGTGACCTGATTCAGATGAATATGGATGGTCAAGTCTAATCATAAATAGATGGTGATGCTTTCTACATACCTTCGTGCTGGAAATAGATAGGAGGCAGTTCGGTCTGAATTACCTTTTCGGTGCTTCCGGAGGTTCCCTGGAGGAAATATTCCATTGTATCACCAAGCAGTGCATCGTGGGCAGAAGTATCTTTGGTAGGACTGAAAGCGCCAGCCGTGCATCTGGCCAGGGGGGTTAGATTGATTTTCTCGATAGTATGACATCAGGGGATTCAGGATACATACACGATACCTAAGCTGAGGAAAAGGGCTTGGGCCTATTTATGCTTTAGTACAGTTCATACATAAGGAAATCCGCTACTCAATTACTTTGGATATAGGTGTATTTACCTCAGAAGTGCCAATATATTTTCTCGTCCCTTTAATGCCCCCAGTTTCTATTCTCGCTGAACTGTTAAATCCTAGATCCCAGGCCTGTTCAATCAAATCTTGTAGCCGCAGTATCGTGGGAAGTTTCCCAGGAAATTGTTCGTGACCATCTGCTCGGCTATCCTGGATATAAGAAATAAGCATTTGGATATTTCTATATCCACAGAAACCTCCTTCTTTCGGCATCTTGAATATATGCCGGACGGCGGGGTTGCAGAGAAAGGCCCGTTCAACGGTTTCATCTAATTGGCAGAGCTGGGAAAGTACGGGGATAAGATACGAAGTCTCGTTTGCCACAGATTCGACTTTTCGCAGTGTGCCATTTGGTTCAATTCTATTGGAAATTGTAACTTTTGCACCTGCTTCCAGCATTCTGCGAAGCCACGATGGCATTTGCTTTTCATGAGCGTACGGTCCTAATTCCAATCCCTAACGGAGAGATAATCAGCAAGATAACGCTTTTCATTCGTTGCGCGACAAGAGAGAGAAATGTTACCACAAGTCGATGCGGGAAGCTTCCACTACTGCGACGATGTTTTCGTCTTGATTTGTGCATCCTCCTATGCGAAGATCCCGAATCTGCCTTTGAATCTCTGCGAGAGTGCTTCGGCTGGAGAACGTCATCTCTGTTGCGAAGAGCCTTGGGCAGTTTTGTGGAGAAGTAACTCTCGATATCATCGTATACATGATTTGCAGTAACACTGTTGTCCTCCGCTTCATCCCTTTCCGGGGGAGGCTCGGCTTTGGGAACAACAATGGCTTCCTCAAACACCATGCCCTCCCCAAGATGGAGGTCTAGGTGGCTTGAGAGCTCAGCAGCGGAGATAATCTCCCCACAACCTTGCGGGCAGTCAACGTAGCCATCGAGGAAATAATCCTCATCATTGATGGGGAGAGATCCGGTAGCTAGCATAGGGGAATCACCGGGTTTCTCCGCGATATGGTTCAGATTTGATGAGACAATGGAGGATGGTTCCTCAGTCGCAATTAAACTAGAAAGTTCGTTTTCCGGATGGCAAAGCTCCACATGTTGAGTTAAGAAATAGGGATCTGAGTCTGAGAAAGCACAGAGTGGACATGGTAAGACATCGGATTCCATGCTACCATTGTCCATCATCCCTTTCTAATGGAAAGGACAAATTAGATATCGGATTCCTTTCAGATGTTTAGTTATAGGTCAGTGAAAAATATAAAAGAAAATAAGTATTTTAATTATAGAGAGTAGTTAACTCAGGTGGGGCACAAGCAAACACCTGTTGACTATAGATGTGATTGTAGTTGAGAGTCAGTTGAATCAAGATAGACACAAGCTATTTTCTGGTGAAAGTGTCTTTTCATTAAGTTGCCAATGCACAAAAATGTGGATTAAGTATCATATAGTTTTGACCCGGGACCAAAGCCAACAACACACATGACTTGTACTTCTGTAGTTAATTAGTTTGATAACCAATTACTAACTAAATAACTGGTAGGATCTAACCACCAGCTATGGATATAACTATTACAATTTAAGCTTGGACATGGTTATTTTACATCTTGTATGAAAAGACTCAAAAACTATAAATTCTGACAGATGTGAGTTGTGTGATTTAGATATTTATAAGTACAAGTTGATTCACATTACTATTATAGAAGAGTAGTATCAGGATATATTGCTGAAAATGAGAAAAATAAGTAAAAGGATACAAAATCTAGTCTTTGAATTTAAGGAAGAAACTATTCCTGGGCCCGCTACTTCATGCTTTGTTGAACAGTTTATTAGAACATGTGTGCAACAAGTACAATACACTTGAGCATATAAGAACAAAATAGTGTCATTTGATTTTAATTTATATAGATATTTTAGGTTAAAATCTGGTTTGTTCAAATATAGTGATTTCGGTGACCTCGTTGAGATCTACAGTTAACCAACTCTTACTCCGTACTCCGGAGCGCCGGTTTAGCTTTTGCCGAATTAACCCCGCGAAACAAACAGAGCAAACAACCTCCCGCTAGTTAATGTGGTCGGCGCAGGCAAAAAGAGAAGAAAAAAAAAAAAAAAAAAAAAAAAAAAAAGGGAAAAGAAAAGAAATTTATCTGCGGAAAATTTCTCTGGGTTTCCGTCCGCTAAGTTATATCGCAGAAGAATCTGAATATTAGCTGAACTATTGACTATTATTATTCTCTTCATGCTCAGCCAGGATACTTTATTTTAATTTATATATATATATACCACGCCCTGTGTGTTTTGAATTCCTATCTTCCAAAGGGAAAACATCCTATCTCACACCACAACAAGCCACAGCCAACCGAGAAGAAAAAGAAAGCGGAAAGGGAAAACGTGTTTTGCTTCAGCCCATATTGCGTGATTCGCTGCAGTGAAGAAGTGTAATTCCGGCGCAAAACCGCTAAAGGGGAGCGATCTTCCTTGTTAACTTTTTATCCGATATGGTTATATACACTTTTTAAATTTGCCTTACTCACTTATCACGAAGGAAGGGGGAAAATCCTTGAAAACGTTCATGCAGATATAATTCCCTCGCTTCGCCCCCTCGTTTCCTCTACAACTTACTCTTCAATTCGCACTCTCAATCCCTTTTCGCATCATTGTTCAATCTCAGCTACACTTGTGTTTTGACGCCACTACCTGAACTCAGGGCTTAGGCCTTTGAACCCCGGGCTTCAGCTCCGGTTCAGCGCAAAATGAGTCTGCACTCTCAGTTGATTGCAAATGGAAACGACAATGTCCCTCTCCCCAATGGGATAACCACCTATCCCACAGAATGGGTGGTGCAGAAATTTGGCGGAACAAGCGTGGGGAAGTTTGCCGTGGAAATTGTGAACCGTGTGATCTAGTATGTTACCACCCAAACACACCCACACACACACACACACACACACACACACACTCTCTCTCTCTCTCTCTCTCTCTCTCTCTCTCTCTGTGATAATTTTGGCAATTGGATTTCAAGTAACTTGCCTTTTTCCTTCCCATGTCTATAGTCCTAGTACCCTCACACATCGCGTTGCGGTCGTCTGCTCTGCGTGGAGCAGTTCTTCCAAAGCGGAGGGAACCACGAATCGGTGAGTCACATCCCCCTATCAATATACCCCACGACATAACAGCTTTGGCTATCCCACTTGATTCACAATCACCTAGTGTACTAACAAATATCTCTGTTATACTATAGACTACTTCGCGCAGCTAGAGAAGCGGGGAAAAATGCAAAGTCCACCCAATATGTGTCCCTGGTCCATGCCGTCCGTGATGAACACATCCAGGTCGCTAGTGACCTCCTTCAAAATACCGAACTCAAGAACCAGCTGATCCAGGAGATCGAAGAAGAATGCAGCCACATACTCAAAATCCTCGAAGCTGCCCAAACACTAGGGGAAATATCTATCAGATGCGTGGACAAGGTGATTAGCACCGGCGAGAAGCTCAGCTGTCGCATGATGACCGCCCTGCTCCATGATCACGGTGTTGATTCTGAATACATCGATCTATCAGACATAGTCGATTTTGCGATAAACGTCCAATCGCTCGATCAAGCGTTCTACGACCGTCTTGCGGCCGCTCTAGGTGAAAATATAAAAGCATGTGGGAGAAAAGTCCCGGTGATCACGGGCTATTTCGGGCCGGTGCCGGGAGGTTTGCTGGAAAAAGTTGGCCGAGGCTACACAGATCTGTGCGCTGCTCTTGTGGCGGTGGGCGTCAGTGCCCACGAGCTTCAGGTCTGGAAGGAGGTGGACGGGATTTTCACTGCTGATCCACGAAAAGTACCCACAGCTCGACTCCTGCCGGCGATCACTCCGGCAGAAGCTGCTGAATTGACATTCTACGGCTCTGAGGTCATCCATCCTTTCACCATGGAGCAGGTGATCAGAGCCAGAATCCCCATCCGGATTAAAAACGTTATGAAACCCCGGGGCAAGGGGACGGTGATTTACCCAGACTCGATTGCGGAGCTCGACGAGACGACACCGGGCCACAACCCCAAACTCTTCCGCACCCGGAGCTCCAGTACACTCTCCCAGCGTCAGGAGGGCCCCAAGCGACCAACTGCAGTAACAACCAAACACAAAATTCTTGTTATAAATGTGCACTCGAACAAGCGGTCACTTTCCCACGGGTTTTTCGCGGGTATCTTCTCCGTGCTAGATAAGTGGCGTCTGTCCATCGATCTAATATCCACCAGCGAAGTGCACGTTTCGTTAGCGCTGCATTCCGAACTACCTTTGCTAAACGGGGTCGGGCAGGATGAGTACCAGATAATCGACGAAGATCTCCGAGGCGCCATCCAGGACCTCCGCCGGTATGGCACGGTGGACATCATTCCGCAAATGGCCATTCTGAGCCTCGTGGGGAGACATATGAAGAACATGGTTGGTATTGCGGGGCGCATGTTTTCCACCCTGGGGGAGCACAATGTCAACATCGAAATGATTTCACAGGGTATGCAGTGTTCCTCTCGTCTCCTTTGCTTTTCCTGTTGATTTTTTCCGTCCCCTTTTTTCTTTTTTCTTTTTTCATTTTCCCATTTTTTGCTGTACAACCTCCGAATTTCAACCACCCTTTTAGGAACGTGCTAATATTCCTTCTTTGGTTTCAAAATTTCAGGTGCTAGCGAAATCAACATATCGTGCGTCATCGAAGAGAGAGATGCAGACCGCGCCCTCAACATCCTCCATACAAACCTCTTCACTTTCCTTGATTGATTGATCAACTTCAACAGCAATTAACAACCACGAGACTCTGCCCCATTGATTGGTACGACATTTTATGAAACAGTTGAATATGCGGAAGAACTACAAAACACAATAATAAAAATAAAATAAACAAACAAGCAAGACACATCTTCGAACTGAAAAGATAATAAAACACAAAAGGCGTTGTAGCACTTTGGCTGAGAATGATGAAACGAACAAGCACTCCAACGTGAGATTCAAATACATACCCTCCCTACCTAGGGTTATGTGTAGAGAATTAAAAAGTTTTGGTCTGTTCCGATTCCAACAACCGGATTTTAAAAATACAGACATGAAATATCCACAGATGGTTTATAGAGATTACCTTCTTGTTTTTTTTTTTTCCCTTTTCCGGATGATGGAGGGTTTAAGAAGCGCCCAAAGGTGTTTCTCTGCGGTAGTGGGAATCATGGGGCATGGAATGACAGGCGCACGCATCGCATGGAGATATTCATTGCGGCGTGAAAGTTTTGTTGAGATGAACTTAGCAGAGAGCGGGCAGGAGATAGAAAGACAAGATGGACGGAGAGAGCAAGGGCAGAATTAGCACCCTATGAACTTCGACACTAATTCTAGATAGACGTCTTGAGACTGTCAGATCGATCGTCGAAGTCATCTCAACCAATTTTCTTTTTCTGGTTTTAAGCTTTTTTTGCTTTTTCTTCTCCCTTTTTTCTTTGGACGGGATTGGTCATTTGTTCCCTGATCTCTACTCATTACTCATTATATCCACCTCTTCGATATGCCAGAGGCCCACTCTGCCTTCCCCACTGCCGATGAATAATTGGAGGATGCAACATGTCCAGTATTGTGTCTTCTCGTTGGTCTGGATGATTTCGGCTGATGCGATTTGAAGATACATAGTTCACATGTCAGGTCCGCTGTGCTTTGGCAGGGGGGTTATTGGACGATGGTTGTCGCGTACACCGCTTGTATTTCGCCCACAGCACACTGGCGGAGAAGTGGAAATCTACACCAATGAGTGATCAACAAATGGTTTTTTCCATACCCTCTCCATCCAGTTCCTCTGCTTTTATCGTTCGTTTTCCAATCCTCGGAATGAAGAAGAAAGGAATTGGATAGGGTGGGATTCCGTTTTCGGGCTCTGGGCGCTCGGAGACTCGCTTAAGTGTTTTCTGCTGAGCAAGTAAAAGAGAGTGAGTGGGGTCGTGGGAGGCGGACTATGAGAGCAGAGGAGGAGATCGCATCTTGTCGTGCGGGTTTCCCCCCCCTTCTAGTTCTCTCCATCTGTTGTGTACATACATACATACATACATACATCACTTGCGCCAATATTTATTATTATATAAAGATACTTAATGATTAATTAAAGTAATCTCTGCTTGCACGACTAACTGACTACCTCGGAAGCTTACAAAGTGAACGGGGAAATAAAATGGTTCCTACAATTTTCCTTTTTTTTTTTTAAAGAAAGAAAGAAGAAAGAAGAAAGAAGAAAGAAAGATAAAAATCCCATTAGTCGCAACCAACCCAGCACCCAGCGTTTCGGATTTCCCGCATGAAAAGTATATGGTTGGCGAGGAGCGGAGATGCCACCACCTGTAAGGATTGGGATTTTGGCCAGGAATTTCGCCAGAGAAGTTGGCGGCTGCTTGCTTGCAGTTGCACACTCGCTTCCTCGTGCCACGGTCCATGGACCAGCCAGCCCAAGAGACCAACTACGAGCTCCCAGCTGCAGGGATCTTGGTCTGTGGAAGGAGTTTCACCAGCTCGTAGTCCCCCCAAAGAAGGTTTTCCGCTTAGCCGGTGGGACTGTCGAAGTGGATCACCAGCGTCATCAGCAGAGCGAAACATCTGGATCCTGCCAAATCCTGTTGTGCTAGTTTAGTCGATGTGAGTTGGCAGACTGGGTCAAGTTAGTTCGTCGTGAACTCTTGACTCGCATGTTCTGGCCGGCGACAGGGCAGAAGGACGGAAGGACGGGCAATTGGGCTGTGTCTGCAAGGTATCGAATACCATCCGGTACGCATAACACATACACACATACACACACACACACACCATATATATATCTATACATACACTTGTAATGTTAACTTGTCGTTATCAGCTTGCTTGTGGGGATTGGATAATCGTTCCGCATGCAGAGAGCTGCTATTATTATTATTATTATTATTATTATTATTCTCCTTGCTTCTGCTTCTGCTGCTTGCTTCTTCCATCCAGTTGATTCCTCTCCGGGGAGATGATTGGGGGATATGCCCACCATTGAAAAGTGAGGGATATATCCTCTACATCCACGTTCTATTCCCAGCACGCACTGTTCTGTTTCTGGCTTGGTCTGCTTAACGTTTTCGGCATGGGCAAGGGCGGGCAAGTTTGGCTGAATGACAGCACGTACACATGAGGTAGGTACCTTAGGCATATATACACCTGGTTACTCTGCCTGGTTGCTGTTCAACCGTAGACTGTGGAGCTCTGTCATTTTGGAAATGCAGGATAATATATCATATCGTATCGTATTGTACACCGAACCTAATCATCGCCGAGTGGATTCTCCGTAACATACAGTACAGTAAGTAGCATACATTATACATTATATAGTTAGTACCTTGAAAGGGCGAGCCGCCCGTCATCGACAATGCAAGCTGCCTTGGCGCCTGTGCCGTTGCATTTCCTGATATGTACTGTCTGTACAATGTATTTTTACCCTGCTCCTTCCCCTCGACTCTTCTCCCTCTCTCGAACCTCTCTAGCCTCTCGAGCCACTCAAACCTCTCCAACCGCAACATCTCCATCTCTCCATCTCTCCATCTCTCCATCTCTCCATCTCTCCATCTCCATCTCCCTCCCCCATTTCCATCTTCCTACGCGTCTTTTTTTTTTTTTTTTTTTTTTTGTATAAAAGAGGAAAATCCCTAAATCCCCTTCAACTATCTGTAGTTAGTTAGTGCTCAAGTGTCCCCCGCCCGCGCATCAGGTGAAGAGAGAGTGAGAGAGAGAGACAGAGAGAGAGAGAGAGAGAGTGTGTGTGTGTGTGTGTGTCGTCAACAACTACTACTTCCGGTGGTTATCAGCCTCGCTTATCTGACCTGGGCCAGTTCTGCCCTTGGCCTCAGGCGCCCTACCCTGCCGCCTTATCCGCGCCCTCTTCCCCTCAATTTTGTCCCCATCCAATCCAACAAACATCCCTTTCCATCAATCACATCATCCCGCCCAGCCATCAGCCACTTTCTTCCCGAATCCTGTCCAAACTACCTGGGTACATTCTTCCATCATAGTACCCCCATCTCCGTCTCTGCTCTCTCGTCCTCCACTTCAATCACCCATCATTTCCCCCCCCCTCCCCTCCCCTCCTGATTTATTTTCCCTTCAAAAACCCCTCTCTTTTGCATGCTTTGTTCTGTAGTGGGCGGTTCGTCGTCGACGTCCTCAGCTCCTCCCACCACAGCCACATCCCCGCTATTGCAGATCTTGTTTTGCCCGACTCTTCGATATCTCCGCTCCCTTGACATCTTCCTTTCCCAACCTCCCGCCCTTTCCCTCGTGATAGACACGCCCGTTTGACGTGTCAGTCTTCCCCTAGTTTGTGGTTTTGTCATTGTTGGTTCTACTATCGGTATTTTTGTGATGGCTTCGACGCGTCATCCATCGCCTTTGCGCATCTACCAGGACACTGGCCATCCTCCACCCGGGGCTGGCACCGGTAGTGTGACTCAGGCTCCCAACTCTTCATCCACTTCTTCCAACAAGCCAAATCGTCTACAACCTTCTCCCATGCCGCTGCAGCCCATGAGAAACGCGTCGATTAACAAGAATTTCTCCTTGAATCTCCCTTCCAACGGACCATGTCCTATCTCTCCTGTGAAGACCCAGCGTCGCCCAAGCATGTCAGCTTTGGGTCACCGCGAGAAGTTGGGCTTTGTCCCGATATCTGCACCCAATCCCGTCGCATTTACCACGGATTCACCAACAAAACCTTCTAATGGCCAGGCTTACTCCCAACGTGTCCCGCCAATGACACAGCAACCGCTCTTCACCACCTTTTCCAGTATTCCTACCGACCGCCAGAATGCACCCAAGGTACAGCATGTTCATCATCATCATCATCACATGAGTGGCCCACACAATGAAAACTTTACTCCTTCCTTTCCAAATCCTTCCTCTGCAGCCGCTGCTCCTGCCAGACGATCATTAATGGAACCTGCACCGATGAAGGAACGTCAGTCCAAGAAACCCAAGCGCGAAGAATCGGCTTTTGTTGAAGTACCAAATCCTACAGATATGCCCCTTGTTGAGGATGATGGCTCGAAACCCCCATATAGCTACGCTATTCTTATTGGAATGGCCATTCTGCGCTCACCAAACAGACGTCTTACTCTTGCCCAGATCTACAAGTGGATCTCAGACACCTTTGTCTTCTACCGT